ATTAGGGACACGTCAAGGGCCCCACTGTCTATTAAGATGTCAACCGGGATGCCCTGGATTACGGCGGTAGTAATATCATTAGACCCCGAATAGCCATGCACTTCCCTGCAAAGGTTCACCTTTCGTCGATTGTTATTCGAAGCTTCGACGTGCCGCTTCGTATAACAATCACTCTCAGCGTGTCCAAGCTTTTTGCAGAAAGCACAAGGCACTGTATTTGATTTTTCGTCAGGTTTACGCTTCTTAGGGCAATTGGTTCGCAAATGTCCGGTTTTACCGCATAAGTAACACGAGGTACCCGAGGGTCCATTGTTGCGTTTACTAAATGAGTTGAGCCTAGAACTTGCACGATTATCAGGTTTAGTAAAGCTAGGCTTAGTATAAATGGCTAAAAACGTGACTAGATTGTCAATAGTTAGGTCGGCATTCGCTGTTGCGGCCCGCACTTGGGCATCATTGATACCTCGAATTACTATTTGGACCATCAGTTCTTCGCTTAGACCCTTAACAATGCGCAATCGCAGCAGCGAACGGCGGGCGTACTCGGCATACGTATTAAATTTATTAGAATTCGTGTTCATAACCTCAAAGAGGATATTTGCGTAGTCGAGCTTGTGCGGGCACAAAGATCTAAATTTTTTAATAAAATTACTCCAAGAGCGATCGTTGGTAACCCATTCATTTAACCAGGTCTTGGCGTCCCCTTTCAAACAATGGGCTACCCGCGATAAGCATTCCGAATCACCCCAATTATTTGTTAATTTTGCCCGTTCAACCTCGTCGCACCATGTCTCGAAGTTATGAACCGCCGGATCGAAATTAGACACGTAGTAGTTATGGGGTTTTACTTTGTTTATAACGGCGTTGAGAGCATCAGCCAACGTGTCGGCCGCTGACGGTACATCGCTATTACAACGCTGGCTGGTGTTCTGTTCGGCAAGTGGTGGCGTATGTGACGTACCGGCCACGCTACCCTCAATGGCATCTAATCGCGACATTATAATCGCTAACGTTTGCCCTACCGAGCCCTCACGGCTGCGCGAGCGTGATACACGTAACCGAGAATCGCGGCGAGAACGTAATCGAGAGTTCGACCTGGATTCGCGACGAGAACGCGACCGTGAACGTAGGGTAGAATCACGGCGAGACCGGGAACAATGTTCGCGGCGAGAACACAAACGAGGATTGCGTCGGGAGTGCGAACGAGATTCACGACGGTGCCGACGCGATTTGCTACTCGCGCGCTTTATTTTGCGGCGTGGTGACACGTCAGAATCGTCACAAGATGAACGTGGCATTTTAATTATGAATTAGTGGCTGTTTCTCAAAAGAATTTAAGAAATCTAATTTATGTGGGTACGTAGGCGAATCCCACTTCTGATTTTAGGATCAGAAGCCGGATTTTATTAAAAAAAAACAAACTAGCCACACAAAATACAACTTATTTATTCTTATATCTAAACAATTTTATTTAAATAACCAAAATCACAAAAATTAACAAATTGAATCGTAATTGACAAACAGCCACTAATCAAACATAATAATCAGTAAATGCACAAAATAATCTCGAAAAGAAATAACTCACAGCAAATAGCGCCGACACCTCACGACCGTCCTGTGCGAAAGCCAACCGACAAATGAATTGTCTGGTGAGCTTACCCCACTTAAATAGGTTTGTGAGATGACGTCACTAAATGCAGTAAACAACCCTTAATTATCCTAATAATATAATGTTTATTCAACCGTCGATTTTACCCCATTTACTAAAACATACGGTGCGAGGAAGACGGCACTGACGTACTTAGGGTTCACGACCTTATTTACGAGAGCTAGGAAATTGAACAGCTGACTGAACAGGGTTGACACAACTGAGAAAACAAGTTTATTTGACGACTTAGTACTTATGCTTTAGTAACAGTTTTTTTTTCATCGAAAGACATTTTGCGCTCTGTGTAGTGTGAGAGGGAGTGTCAGACTCTTACTGACTAAAAACCACCCCGTCTCTTCTCCTGCTCCAGCCCGAGGCTGCGCTGCTTTATAGAACTTAATGCACAGCCCCGGTTGAACATCAGCCCTATTGGGCCCTATCTTAAGACTCATCGTTGTTGGTTTAAATCATTCTGCAAGTAGAGTTAGCTTAAAGTCGAATCGGCTATTACATCGATGTACGTAAAAATGAATACTAATATTATAAACTCGAACGGCCTTATTACAAAACAAGGTTTTACTTTAGTCTAGGACTAAACCATTGAGGCAGTATTCGTATTTCGAATTGAAGGTAGATGACAATAAGATTCAAAATTCAAAACCCGACTCAATGGTTTAAACCTGGACTAAAGATAAAACTTGTTTTGTAATAAGGGGGAAGGGGGTTTGTTTGGCTGCCTTAACGCGCTAATATGCGCAACTACTGGTTCGAATTAAACAATTATTTTTGTGTTGCATAGTCCATTAATGGAGGACGGGAAACTGTGTTTAAGTATGTTTTAATAATAAAAAAAGAGTTCAAAAATTATAATTGAAATTATAAAAATACACATTATAATTTTTTTATAATTTAACATTAAGATAATAAGGAGTTTTACCCATAATCTAGTATTCCATACATACAAAGACAAACTAGTAACCTCGAGCAAAACTTTTTTTCCAACAATATTGGAACCAGTTTTACTATTTTGTCTAGTAAGTATTGGTAATAAACGTAAAGTTACAAGTTCAGGCAAATCCATGACAATAAAGACTCCAATTGATAGCTGCATTCAAATCGGACCGGATGTTTCATTTCCTCACGATTGGAGGGCCGGACAAATGACGTCATGTACAAACGTTTTGATTGGAAGACGGTCGCGTGATAAATGACAACCCTATAACAAGTGTGGAAGTTCATTGAAACGTGTCTAATAGAGTGTTTCATGTGGTGTTTCACTACATACATATATTGGAGGCACTACGTACTTAAATGGGCCTTTAGTTAGTAGGAATTTTAGAATTTTGGATAAATCTAATGATTTTAGAGGTACCTAGGTACTCGTACCGATTTGGCAAAAATTTCGAAAGAGAAAAGTCAAATTAAAAAATTGGACTTTAATCAAACACCGGTACCTATTTTTTCTTCTACTCTTACTCCTATTCAGTTCTCCTCGTCCTTTTCTATCCTCTTAGTAAGGAATAAAGACATTGTTTTGACATAATTCAGGCTCATTTTCGTATTGTGCTAAACATAATTATAGTTGTTTACGTTATGTTACGTGGCATGTGAGTAAGGTTTCTGGAGGGCCATTCCTTGCCCTCCCCGAATCTTTAGTCCCTCAATTCCCCATCTTTAAATCCTTAAGAACCCACAAAGGCCGGCAACGGATTTGTAATTTCTTTAGTGTCACTAGTGTTTATGGGTGACGCTAATTGATAACCGAACTATAAAATAAAAAAGGGGAAAAATATCGAATAATAATATGTTGAAATATATTAAGCATTTCTTCTCAGTTAATAATACTAAGCTTTCACCTCTCAATTCGTTTCTTGTGTGTATTTTAAATGTTCCAGCCAGTGTATTAATAAACTGTTAACGAAGTAAGTCTTATTATAAAATAACTGTAATATTATTATAGCTTTTGATGACGTTTTTGTGCGTGCGTCTGTGAAATTGTTGCCAAATGCCATTTGTTCATCAAAATAAAAGTTTTCTTTGATATTGTATGAAAATTTAAACTAAGAATATTATAAATATAATATGCAATAATGAAACAATAAATTTATTTTTAATAAATTGTCCGCATCGGATGTCGAACGTGAATGACGAAAGAAAGATTGCTTTTATAAAAACGTTTTGCGAGTGTGAGATGAGCCTTCCAACAATTTTAACGATTTATATTTGTATTATATAATATATTATATGTTATTGTATATTTAGATAATAAAAAATAAAGTTCACGCCGCATTTTATATTTGACTACTTTGAGAAGAGATACCAAAGTAAACTCAGACCCAGACATAAAGAAGAACAACAAGACATACATTAGAACTGGCAACATTGTCACACACGTAAAAACAAAAATCCCATAAAATTTAAACTTGTTCGTGAGACGGCACGTGTATCCTACATCCTAATGGCGGTACAGAATAAACTCAAACAAGTTGTTTACAAACTTCTTTCTTCAGTCTCCTTGGATGCGTGCCTGCATAGCGAGACGTACAGACGCCGGTGACGTCACTATGGGCCGCCATATTGCATAACAGAGTATGTCGGTTGCATTCCCCCGTTTTGATGTACCTATTAAATTGGAAGTGATTATGTTGGAGGAAATGGACGGATTTTTTAACTGTACTTGTATTATAATTATCATGAGACGCACTTAATTACTTAAAAAATACACTTCGAGTTATTGGTGACAGTTATTGGTAAATTAAAGTTTGATCAAGCTACATAAAGACACATAAAACATTATTTTATAAATTTGGCATAAGTATACGTCAGACCCAAAACTGGGACAACTAGTGGATCACAATGCTGCAAAAACAGTTGCGGGAATCGTTCTCGCTACGCAGCAGCCACTGGGGACTGGTATTCCATTATTTAATGGATGTCATTATACATAGAAAGCTTCTTCTTCAATCACCCTTTCTGATAAAAAAACCGCACCAAAATCCTTTGCATAGTTTAAAGATTTAATCATACATGGGATATAGGGACAGAGCGACTTTCTTTTATACTATGTAGCAATGATATTATCAGTAAAATGGTGTAGATTGGTTACATAAACCAACCCATAAACCAACGATTTTCAAAAATGGCACACTAATGCACACAAGAATAAAGCGTATGATACACGTTAAAGTGGGATGGCATGATTCAATAATCGCAAGTGAAAAAGAGACAAATATGAAAAAGTGTGGCTAGGTAGCCACATTTTAATGTATCACTTGCTGAGCGCTTGTAACCTATCTACACATTTTTACTTATTATATAATTGCTATGTAGTGTCAAAAATCCCCCTTTCCAGGATTACTGCAGCTATTACTTGATGAGGTTCAACAAGCAGCCTCAGTTCTGTCGCAAGGTGGAGGAACAGCGTCCAGTAAAAAGACCTCAAACCCGGAAGACCAGAGAGAGGACAGAGCCTATTGCCCCACCGGAGTGTGAGTGCAAGGAAGGCGCTGATCTACCGTCTACTTTCACTGTTACCAAGTTGTTGCAGGTGAGGTGTAGGGGGGATGAGAAGTGGGGTAGAATAAGTCAGGTTAACAAGTTTTTACAACTAACAGAGCACCGGCAAAATCTAAGTTTCTGAAATTTACTAAAATATCGTAGGGAGGAAAAATTTTATTGTTTGTTTGTTTAAATTGAATAGACTCCAAGAACTCGATAGATGAACAGGATGGCATTTTGAACGAAGGACCTATTCAAGGACCTGATTCTGGTGCTCAATTACAAATTTTGCCATGGAACCAATATGGAAATCTCAAAAATAAATTTATATCCCCATACAAATCGCAACAGCTGATTGATTATTTTGCATGAAGAAGTAAATTGGTCTTATTGGAAAAGTTGTTATAATTGAGCACCAGAATCAGCCCTTTAAATATGTCCCTCATTCAAAATGCTAACCTCTATAAACACAAAACAGAGAATTAAGCACTGTTATGCGCTTAATTCGCTCACCTAGTTACTTAATTCGGTGAAACTAGTGTGATCCGATTTAAAATGAAATTCAGGTGAAGCAAATAGTTTTATTGCGGGATTTTGGCTCTCGGCCAGCAATTTGTCACGTGGTGGCATATTCCAAGGTCACCGCCATGCTGGCTGCTTTAACTGGGCTAAATACAATTGGCAAATAAATATGGCTTTGCAATATTTATATGGCGTTCTATCTTTATTATCCTTTTCTGTAATGTAATGGAATGTCAAAAGAAATTCTGGAAATCTGTTTGATGTAAGAGTTCGCACGCTAATAGGTAATGATTCACTAAGTATCTCTTTTTGAAATGGATCTATAAGATAGGAAAAACAGTAATAGACGCTCCTCATATAATGTAGGTTCCTGCATTTTTTTTATGTGATAGGTCGGCAAACGAGCTTTCGGATTACCTGATGGTAAGCAATCAGCGTCGCCTATGGACACCCGCAACGACGGAGGAGTTACGAGTGCGTTGTCAACCTTTAGGGATTAGGGATTTGGAGATTTTGGAAAAGGGAACGGATTGGGGTTGGGTAAAGATTGGGCTTCCGGTAAGCTCACTCACACGGCGAAACACAACTCTTTGGTTATTTCACGCCAGTTTTCTGTGAGGCCGTGGTGGCGTGAACTCCGGTCAAGCCGACCCGTTCGTCCCGAAGTATGGCTCACCCACACTTAATGCATGTAGTTAACTGGTACAAAATGGGTGATCCGAAAAAATAATATGAAAGTCTCTGGTTACTCTCTCCGATACTAAAAGGGATAAATATGGTATATGGTATATGGTAATTATAAGTCAAGGTTTTCGCACGATGTTTTTCTTTACCGTTTGTCAGATTAGCATTCTTACTTCTCAGGTTTTAAAGGGCATCTTCATGGGTCCCATACTTAGAAAGAAACTGGGCGACTTAATCTCACTACCATGAAAATTATTTAACTTTTTTTACTTATCTTTTTCTGATTCTACAGCGTCTTAACTTGTTTCACAGGACGAACAAGCCATCGAAACAATATCAGCAATAGAAAGGAAGCCTATAGCTGGTTTCCTCGCGCATATGACAAATGATAAGAAGCAGTTGGTGGAACTGTTGTACCAGGACATCATCAGGCCGACAGGGGTATCTTGGGATGATGTGAAAGGACTCTCCTCAGCCAAGAGCTTGCTCATGGAGTCCGTTGTTTATCCTGTGCGGTGAGCGATTGAAATTTTGTTTTAATGACGACCACGATTTTTTTATGTAAGTAGGTCAACGATGTCTGATGTTTATTCGCTTAAGTATCTATTACTGTTTAGTATTGAATTGTTTTCGTTTTTAAAGCTATTCGATTGTTATCCTGTATGATTTAATGGTAAACTACTTTTTTAATGGAATAAGTGGGTAAATGAGCATACGGTAGTGATGGTAAGCAATCGGCGCCCCCCATGGAGAACCGCAACACCAAAACGTTAGTGTGTTGCTGGCCTTTTGGGGATAAGGGTTGCGGATATTTAAGGAATGGGAAGGGATTGGGCCTCCGATAACTGATTGTGAATCAGAATTGGTGAAAGACAACGTTGTTTCACGCTGGTTTTCTGTGCCACCTTGCATATTAATACTTTACGTACGTGCTGTTTTAAGGGATTTCGCGCACACTTACCTTCTTTTTTATTTGTTTTTTTTTGCTTGACCTTTTGGTAGAGTTACACCTGCCATGGTCCATGGACTGGTGGTCTAATTATGGCTGCAGGGTTGATACGTGCAAGTTAAACCCCATAAAATAATAAAGTATTAACAAGTAGATAGCTCATTTCTCTGTTCAGATATCCAGAAGTGTTTACTGGACTGCTAGAGCCCTGGCGTGGAGTACTCTTGCACGGTCCTCCTGGCACCGGTAAGACGATGCTGGCTCGAGCCGTGGCTGGCGAGAGCTGCTGCACCTTCTTCAACGTTTCCTGCAGCACCGTCATCAATAAATGGCGTGGAGAGACCGAGAAAATTATCAATGTAAGTTGTTCAACTTGGGTCCAGATTTTTCCCTTGGATTTCTGCAATGATAAAACTACGGTTCCTAGTACATTTCTAGCTCGAAATGGAGTTCAGTCTGGTTGGAAAACATGAATTTAATCTGTTAAAGTCAAAGTTAAATAATATAGGCACTTTTAAAGATCAAACAAAATAATTAAATATAATGTAATAAGTTAAAAAGTGTCAATCTGTCGGTCTGGTCAACAACGAAGAACTTATTGCTCGTTCCAATATATAAATATGTCGATTGCGATGGAGAAGAATGAGTAAGAAACTCATTTTATATCATCTCACTCACTCACTCACTTTTATATCAGTTTGAGCATTAAATTATTTGTTACATTATTAAGTCGGTTCTTATATGTGAGAACACTGTAACACTACATAATATTTAGCTAAAATCCTTATTCAGAGTAAGGTTGTGTTTTAAAAGCAAACTTGGCTGGTGCCTAGAGTGCCAGGTGTAACGGAGGTGGAGGGCAATGACCAGTTTTAATCCGCCCTCGACCATCCCCATTATTTCTTAAATGAGTAAAGGCATTCAGCAGTCGGTTAAAATATATTCGCTTTTTCCAGGTCCTCTTCGAAATGGCATCCTACTACGCTCCCTCAATAATCTTCATGGATGAAGTGGAAACACTGGCATCAGACCGCTCGTCTCCCGGAGAACATGAGGCATCCCGTCGTCTGAAGGCGCAACTCCTGACGGAGATCGACGGCATTGGAGGGAGAGAGGGCATCATATTCATTCTGGCCAACTCTAATATGCCTTGGTGAGTAATGCGGAGTACTCCTAATGACGTTCTTGTATGACAAGGATCATAAAAGTTTTGAAACCCGATGTTTCTTTCCTATGAAGTGTCGGGAAAACAAGCAAACTGGTCACCTAATCCACTCGATAAGTCATTTATACGTTGCCGGCCTTTTGTTTCTGGGTTGGCAGAAATTATCAAGACAGTTTCTGCATGATTTAATTTTACAGGAAAATAGGAGATGTAGGTATTTAACACTGGTCTGATTGCGCATCAAGGTGATGTCCAATAAAGTTATCAGGTTATCTATGTACGTCCAAAACTAAAAGTTGTTTATCAATATAATGCGGTTCTATAAGTCAGTAAGAGTCTGGCACTCCCTCTCGGCTCACCCTGGGCGAGAGATCATTCCATTACTTGCCTTCCTCAAAAATAAAAATGCCATTTATGGATTAGCACTATAATCGAGACATTTTTATTTCCAGGGAAATAGACCCAGCCATGCTGAGAAGACTGGAAAAACGAATATACATTCCTCTACCAGACTTTAAAACGCGTGAGGAGTTGTTCCAAAAATACCTGAACGCCAAAAACGTGGAATTGTTTCCGAAGGTGGACTTTAAAGATTTGGCATCGAAGACTGAGGGGTACTCCGGGAGTGATATCAAGTTGGTGTGCAAGGAGGCACTCATGACTAATGTTAGAAAGATGCTGCCCTCTATGAGTGGGAAAGGTAGCCTTACTTTCTTTTTATTAGTACCTAGCTAGTATTTGTATCAGGAAAATTTGGTATTTTTGCATTATAAGAGCCTTGCTTCGGATCGAATGGGCCGTACGACCGAGTGATACTACTGCGTCACGGAAAACAAGTCTGTGATTGTTTCACAGGTTCACAGGTATCCCCGGATTCTAAAAACAGCTGCGATTAAAGATATATCGCCACTAAAATAAGCAAATCAGCTAGAATTAATAGTCTATAGCACTCAGAAACATTGTAGCTATCAACCTATCAGTGAGAGAGTTTTGGAAATCCGACCAGCGGATCCAGATGACCCTGACCATACCAACTTATTTTTACCTCTTTATAATATAAGTATTAGTATAGATAAAATTAATTTAGTTTTGTTTGGTAGTAATATTTTATTTTAGGGATGACTATCAGCGTTATATAATTGCTTTCCTATACTTTATAATGGTTCATTTCAGGTCACCTACCGAATCGCAAGGATAGACTGAACTTGGCAGACATTCTGACAGCCATTGAGAAGACGAAGCCGGTCTCGAAGAACCTCACCAAGAGGCACGTGGAATGGCAGAATGAGATGGGATGCTCATAGTCTTCATTTTTTATTCGTGTTTATATATTTTTATACAGGGTGTTCTAGATTATCGAACCGACATCTTTTAAAACTATGCTAATTAAGAACCTAATACATGTGTGGTGACTTGGAGCACTGTAGGTAGGTATATGTCATATCCAGGCTCAAAACTACAATTTGTGGTTTACTTTTCTCTGTCTCTGTCTCTCTCTCTCTCTCTCTCTCTGACTTGAGTCTCCCCAGAGATAATATCACAAATCTATGCTACGGATTTTATTAATACAATTTCAACTTTATCACCATAGAATCGTGTAGAAATATTACTGGAAAAAAACCTTCCAAGCCAGATGTTATTCAGACATTTCTTTACGTCCTTTTTTTCTAAGGTACCTATTAATTATTGTTTATATTAGAAATTATTTATTTGTTTCTCTTTTTCGAAATCCAAACTTCCAAACTAATATTATAAATGCGAAAGTAACTCTGTCTGTCTGTCTTTTCTTCACGCCTAAACTACTGAACCTATTGGTGTTACAGACATAGGTAGTTTGGAACTCGAGAAAGGACATAGGATCTTTAAACTAAAAATCTGCAGGAAGTCACTATTCCACGCGAACAAAATCGTGTCCGTTACCCAGGCCAGATGTTGTCGACAATGGTCATTTGAATCTTATAGATAATTAGTTGTGCGGCTTCTGTAATTGTTGCGCACATTTTTAAATTTGTTGCGCTTATAGTTTTTTAATTATTTCACAAAAACATTTCCTGCTGGCGTAACGTTACCACAGCCAGACCTTTTTATTTCTAATGGGAATATTTAAAAAAATATTAGCTATAAAATTAGTTGTCTAGATAAAGTAAATGTTGTGCCTTATTTTGTATTTGTTCTTTCTTCGGTTGCGAAGTTATTGGAGATTTTGCTGCGGTAACGTTTTTGGTTTTGCTAGATCTTTGAAATGGTTAAGCGGATTCTTCTCATATTTTGTACACGACTTCCGAGGACTTAGTTTAAATTTGTTGTGCAATAACAAAACCAAAATAATGCATATTTTAAAGGTTTTTTCATTAAATAGAAAAACACTTCAATTGGCCCCAGCACTCTCAATAAGAAGTCTAAAGACTTACTTTAAACGTAATTTTAAAGCTTGTAACTGCCTTCAAATGTATGTGAAGTTTCATTAGTATCCCGTAAGTATTTAACAAGTTATGATGATATTCAGTTCTTCACGAGCACGGTCTTAATGCACGCGGTGTTATTTGGCCACTGGATTGGATATATGAACTGAATGTTATGTCAATAATTAGTTGTTTAGATCAGTTGTATATCGGTAAAATTTCAGCTCAATACATTGGATAATTAATGAGATAATACTATGAAAGTCATTAGGAAGTGAATGACCGTGGTAAGCCGACCAAGTTTAGGTGGTTACGAAAAAGCGAAAACGCAGAGCATTGAACTATCTTTTGAAATGTTTAGTATAATACACCTTACAATTTTGGTACAGACGCGTACACTGTTTAATACCTATATAATAATAATAATATAAAAGAAAACATTATCTTCCAGTTCCACAAAATTATCAAAAATCACCGCTAGAGCATGCCGTTCGGTAGGACGCAGGAGGAGTGGGGTGAAGGGGTAATACATTGTTTGCATAACGCACTCAGTCTTGCCAGAAGGTTACTTTTGTAACCTTTTAGATGATTTTTGAATTGCATTTTGAAATAGAAATGACAAGGACGGGTGATGTTTAATCGGTTGCTAAGCAACACAAGTTTTTATAAGTAAGGGAGTAAAAGTTCATTATTGAAATGATTATTTTACCTTTCAATAAAAAATCTTGAATAATCATGTAGTTTTTTTTTAAACTTTTGTACATGTCTGTACTAAATTTATAACACTATCCTACATATTTTAGAAGGTACCATAATGTTCTACGTTTTCGCTTTTTCGTAACCACCTAAACTTGGTCGGCTTACCACGGTCATTCACTTCCTAATGACTTTCATAGTATTATCTCATTAATTATCCAATGTATTGAGCTGAAATTTTACTGATATACAACTGATCTAAACAACTAATTATTGACATAACATTCAGTTCATATATCCAATCCAGTGGCCAAATAACACCGCGTGCATTAAGACCGTGCTCGTGAAGAACTGAATATCATCATAACTTGTTAAATACTTACGGGATACTAATGAAACTTCACATACATTTGAAGGCAGTTACAAGCTTTAAAATTACGTTTAAAGTAAGTCTTTAGACTTCTTATTGAGAGTGCTGGGGCCAATTGAAGTGTTTTTCTATTTAATGAAAAAACCTTTAAAATATGCATTATTTTGGTTTTGTTATTGCACAACAAATTTGTACTAAGTCCTCGGAAGTCGTGTACAAAATATGATAAGAATCCGCTTAACCATTTCAAAGATCTAGCAAAACCAAAAACGTTACTGCAGCAAAATCTCCAATAACTTCGCAACCGAAGAAAGAACAAATACAAAATAAGGCACAACATTTACTTTATCTAGACAACTAATTTTATAGCTAATATTTTTTTAAATATTCCCATTAGAAATAAAAAGGTCTGGCTGTGGTAACGTTACGCCAGCAGGAAATGTTTTTGTGAAATAATTAAAAAACTATAAGCGCAACAAATTTAAAAATGTGCGCAACAATTACAGAAGCCGCACAACTAATTATCTATAAGATTCAAATGACCATTGTCGACAACATCTGGCCTGGGTAACGGACACAACAAAATCGTGGGCAAAAGCTAGTAGGTAACAAAATAAATTTATTAAAGATAATAACTATCTCACGTAAATTAAATGAGAAACGTTCTACTAGTTTCAAATATCAACGGAACTCATGATTATTTTATTCGTGAGCAGCCTAGCGTACGGGTCGCGGCGACGTCAGTCAATCACGTGAGTAAGTCATTGTTTCCAATATTTCTCTTGGTTGGAAGACGTTTACTTACCTAGAATAATCAACTTACAAAAGTTAGATATACTTTAGGTCTAAAATTTCTACTAATAAGGTAGGTATTTCAATACCAAAGTTAAGTTTACTTACTCAAAATAATGTTAACTAAAAATCGCGGGTTACTCACGTGTATATTGAGAAAAGCTCTACTAGTTTCGAACCACAGAGGGGTTCTTCCTCATGAGCAGCGTGCGCGGACGCGGCGACGTCGCGCAGCCTACAATATATACACGTGAGTAACCCGCGATTTTTAGTTAATTTAGTATGTCTCACGATAGTTATTCAAAATAATGTGTTCATAATAACAAATGAATTTGATACCTAATAAAATATGTATTTGACAATCATGTAACTTTTGGAATGTGTGTCAGACTGATTAATGATAGTTTTTATTGATTTTACAACCTGCTTTTTTTCTTATATACCACTTAATATTTGTAAAGTTTTATAGTAAGTCACTTATGTTTATTATTCTATAGTTCCTAGGTCTTGAAATAAAACACCAATTCTAGAGTTATTATTTATTGACGACATCTAGACCAACATCGGTTCCTCTATACAAAATATTGTTTCATTTAAAATCCATTTCTTATGCTTACTACACCTCAATTCCTGCATCCGCTCCTAAGCAATCTAATTCGAACTTTATACAAACATAATAAGCATTAAGATACAATTTTTAGATTACAAAACAAAAGAATAAACAATTCATTTTAATTTAAACAATAACTTAATGAAGTTTTTTCGTTTGACGTTAATATTTTTTATGCAAAAGAGCTCTCATTACCTGATGGTAAGCAATCAGCGCCGCCCATGGACACTCGTCGTACCAAAGGAGTAACACGTGCGTTGCCCGCCTCTTATGGGTTGTTAGGGATTTACGGATAGGGGATTTAAGGATGAAGGATGGCTGGGGAGAGGATTGGACCTCCGCTTACCTGATAAAAACATGGCGAACGACAACGAAAGTGTTGCTTCACTTCAGTGTTGAGCTGGCCCATTCGTGCCAAAGCAACAGTATAAATAATATTATTGATTTTCCAATAGTCATATAAATGTTATCTGTGGAATAATTTCGATGCTGTCGCGTCGGAATGTTTGTATAAGACAGTGACAGCAACAATTATTATTTTTTCTTAGTTATTCCTTAGATAACTTTTATCAAAACCTATAAAAAATTAGCCCTAAGTCAAACAGAATCCTCCTGATAGGTTAAACACAAAGTTTTTTCAATTTACCTGCTATATTAGATAATGTTTACCTATTTGTTATTTTGGCGTATTTACATAAAGGGATACATGTCACATATAAATACAAAACGTGACCAATGCACATAGTTACAGCAAGATAACTAGTGTTAGAAAAAATGTTTGTAATTTGACTAGAAAAGTAATTGTTGAGTTTTTTGTGATGGGATTTTAATAAATATTAAAAATATATATTATGTATGTAGAGTATAATTATGTATAAATAGGATGATTTTTACAATTGTAAAACTATGAAAAGTACCAAAGAAATCAGGCTTCAATAATCACTTCACTTCATAAAGAAAAAATAAACTTTAAATACTAAACAATTCACCAAACTAATTTTAAGCCCCACACAAATTACAATTTTTAATTTAGATAACATTGTTGAAAATTTTCTTTAAAAGTGGCGTTAAAGCGTTAATAATAAGTTGAAAAATAAATAAAGCAACTAATCTACAAAGTAAAACTAATAAGATTCATTTGAAAAACAAGTCTCACTCGAGATTAAAATTTTTAATCAACAGTGTCTCTAAATAATACCTTCTTTTGAAGTCATACTCTAGAGTTGTTTAATGGGCACATAAGCCAATCTATAGCCATTGTTTTTTTTGGGAACAAAATTGTTACTTAGAAATAATTTAAATAATCATTAAGTGTCTCTCAGTATAATCGTAAGACTCAGAACAAATTTTGAAAATGATAAAACTCTAAAAACTTATCACAGATTTAGCTAAAATAAAAAGAATTTTAAATACATAGTTTACATACATCTTTCACATCTTTAAAGTAATTGGTTGTTGATTAATATTTTATACTTGTCAAAAACTTAAAAAAACACGACAAATGAGGTTAAAATAGAAAATTTTGTTTCCATTTTGATTTGAATGTTTGTGTTGATTAAGGCTGGTCTTTCACTATCGCTATGATTCTCAGCGACAAAATTTTATAGCGGATATTATTTATAAGACTTCTCCGGCCCTTGATGGGCCGAAATGAAGTGTCAGATTTTTACTGACTAAAAGACAACAAAACAATACAAGGTTATAAATTAGTAATAGTAGTATTACTCCGTCATTCTGTTCGTCAGTGAACTAAGGTGCTCATTTCAAAATGTAGGTTCGAATGTAGAAGAACGAGTGAGAAACTCCATCGTTAATAATATTAATTTATTTCGAACATTCCATGGGCTAGGATTTGACCTTGGGCCTTTTAGAAACTGTAATTATCGTATTGTTCCAAACTTATTTGTAGTAAGTAAATTTAGTTTATAAAGTGGCAACACTATACCATGTTATTGTGAGTCTACAAAACTTTTCTACTTTTTAAGTAGTTTACGAGAGTAAATTTACAAACGAGAGTAATCGATTCCGAAATATTCGATTTCCATATCGAATAATTTCGCAACGATACTATTTAGTACTTGTCATAACTTTGCAACACTGAAATTGTCAAATCAGAAATCTAATTAAAATTCCGAGTATAGTAGAGATTTTTCACTAGATTCAAGTGGAGTAAGTCGTTATTTTCAATAGATTGAAAGTAATATTTTAAGTCCTAAAAAACTGAAAAATTTGATTGATATGTTCTTATTTTAAATCACCGTATTAGAACTAGTTACCATAGACACGCGTGTGTTAGTTTTATAGACAAATGAAAAAGTATACCAGATATTTTTTAAATTATATTTTATATGTTTATTCTTGGTATAAAAAGGCTTAGGAAACAAATGTCTGGATATCATGTCTCATTTAAAAATAGATTTTTTATGGAGAATGACAGCCAATGTCACGAGTACCAATTTGAGACTTAAAATATCGATAATGCAAAATGCAGAACAAATCATTTAATCCGTTTTATTCAAACAAAAATATCAAGTTCTTGAAGTTCGTTTTATTGTTTTTCTTTTGCAGAAAATATTTTTATTTATTTATATTAATTTTCATAATACACTTATGCATAGATATGCACTTTCTTCGAGGGACTTCGAACGCTGTGACATGAACAATTTGAATGTATTTGGAAACGAGAACTTTTTTAAGTATTAATAAGGATCCCCTGATGATAAAACAGGTCCCGGAATACTTCTACATATTCCTATTTCTCGATATGGACTCAGAAAAACTTGTATATTATCTCGAGGAGATCTATGATCTCCTAATCGTCATCGGATGGCTATTTTATTAGTTTATGAACAATTTGTTATACATTTTATTACAAAAATGAAATGATAACCTTCTTTTTTGAAGTCTGTTAATAATTAGAATATTTAAAAAAAAGAAGCTAAGTCCGCAAAAAGCAACAAGCAATGTTGCCAACTCTAAATTTTAATGGCCAGTGTTGCCATCAAGTTAGATTAAATATAGAAGATGATTGCGGGTATTTGGCCGTCCTCTACCGAAGTGCCGTTGTTGCCGGCAGCGTACGAGAATTGGAATACCACTTTCTCACCGTTATTGCAATCAACTGTCACACGCCGAAGTCCTTTCGTGCCGTAGTAGGAATCGGTGCCCTGAAAAACAAAAAACAAAAAAGTGATAAGCTTTAAAAAATATTTTTTAATGTACGTGAAATAAGTACTACGTTATTTGCTTGCAGTGAAAATTGGGCAAGGCAAATCATCAGGCCTATAAGTGCCCACTGCTGAGCAAAGGCCTCTTCTCAAACGGAGAAGGCTTGAGCATTATTAACCACACTTGCTCAATGCGGGTTGGCGAATTCAAACTTATAATTACAATTTATAAGTCGGAATATACATATAAATCGGAAAAGTCACACTGGTGTTTGCCAGGTTTCGAACCCACACCCTCATGCAAGAGAAGCGGGCTCCTTAAACAGCGGGCCACCACGACCTCACAAAAAAATCTAAGTATTAAGATTTATAGAGAGAAATCTTCACTTTTAGGCTTGATATTTACTTAAAAAGTAGTAAAGTCTACTACCAATCCTATTTCTCCACCACCCAAAGGTAGACTGGCAGAGAACGCCTAAGGCGTTAAGTCCGCCATTGTACGTTGTGCAAGAAGTGTAAAATAAATAAATAAAGTGTTTAAGCCGGTAGGTCGTTCTCAGTAGTCACTTCATCGCCATTTGTTTGCCCTCCGAAAACAAGCGTGGGGGAGCCGTGCTGCAAGGAATGGGCCGGCTCAACCGCACTGATACCACTGCCTCACAGAAAACCGGCGTGAAGGAACTTTTCTTTGTGTTTCGCCTTGTGATTGAGGTTACTGGAGGCCCATGCCTACCCCACTCCCCCATCCTCAAATTCCCTATTCTGACGTACTTTTAGTCTCTTTCTTGGTGGCGCGAGTGACCATGGGCGGTGCTGATTGCTTACCATCAGGTAATCAGTCTGCTCGTTTGCTGATCATAAAAAGTAGAAGAGAAGTTTTATTTAATGAGAGGATTTAAGCATACCATATTACCAAACTTTGCCAGTATATATTACCTTAAGTTTAGCACTAGCTATGTAAGATGTGTTGGGCAGAATCTCCACCGGCTCCTTAAACATGGCGCGGAAAGTGTCGTCGGTACCGTCACAGCAAAATGTCGTTGTGTTTGAACCACATACCTTTTTTGTCGCTAAGTGGATTATCTGAAATAATTTAATATTTATGATAATTTTACGTAGTTGTTTAGCTTAATGGTTAGCTTCCATTTAAGACTTATATTCCAGAGGTTCCATTCAAGTTATGCAGACTAAAATGTACAAGTGCATGGCAAGTATTTAAGTGTGGGAGAGCCATGCTTTGGCTAGGCGACCGGAGTAATACTACGCCTTTATAGAAAACCTGCATGAAACAACAACAGCGTTGTGTTTCGGCGGGTGAGTGAGGTTCCCGGAGGTGCTTCCCCGCCCACGATCCCTACATTCCTAATAGATCGGCAACGCGCTCGTACCTCCCCCGTTGATGCGTGTTTCCACTGGCGGAGCCTATTGTTAACTATTACGTAATCCGCCGGCTCGTTCGCATAAAAAAGGTACAAACAATATTTGCTGTATGAAAACTAATTAGAAAAGTGAAAAGAGTATCAAAATGAATACAAACCTGTAAGTGCACCTCATACTCCGTTGGCCCAAAATATGATCCATACAGTCCAAAGCCAACCACAAATATTCTCTGATCAACCGTAAACCGAATCCTGTCTGTCGGTCCACTGTAGCCCCACCTCGATTCTGTCTGGGGAAACCTGTTCACTGTCAGCTCTTTACCAGTCATACAGCATCTTGGAGTGTCTAGGAACCCAACATTAGGTTTAGGATTCACCGTAAAGTATAGGAACAGTTGTACAATCTCCCGGTCATCCAGGAGACCACTTTGCGCAGGGCCCATCGCAAATTCTTCAACAGACATTAGGGGAAATCTGATAGCATTGAATGCTCTTCCAAGGACCATCCTTTGGTTGGCAGGAGTGACTGGAACTTGTCTTCGAATACATTCAGCTTCTGACCAACGAAGCACTGCTGCGAAAATCTTTGCTTCTCTGATGCGCAGAGTATCTCTACAAAATAGATTGAAAATTATTCAGTAATGGTTTATATTCTTATTTATTATCACATCTACAACACTTGCTAGCAATGTAGAACAAATAAATATAATATTCTCTTGTAAAACTAGGTAGTAGTACACATTTTTTGATAACATAAGCTAACTACAATAATATGAATGCATGCATAAATGACATTAGATTTGATTAACTATTTGCACAAAATCACTTGTGCTAATAGTTAATCAAATCTAATAAAAGATATAGGCAAAATAAACAACTTCAAAACTTTTTTAATTGTACCAAATTTTTTTTTGTCATCACTACCTATGGAAAAAAACAAAGTTGCATTCTCCATGTCTATATACCTATGTATTCCTAAATCATTGTTTTATAGTGATTAAAGAGGAAGGTTTATAATGTATAATAACATCCATTAAATGCTGGAAGTACCAACACCCATTCTATGTCACAACTGGTTGATAGCATTTAATAAACTAACTCAATACCCTAATTTGCAATTTACTTGCAATAAAAGTATTTGCCCAATTAACAAAGCAAATTAAACAATTATAATTCTGGCATTGATACAAAGTACCAAATGTTGGCATGTTGACAATGGCCTTGTTTTAATACTGTCAACAAATAATTATTAACAAGTACTGATAACAGAGAGTGGTTCTAAATAGTTTGTTGTCAATGAAGGATCTATAGGCATTATAATTACTTGCACAATTTTTTTTAACTAATACTAATAAAATTTTCTCACAGACTGAATATTATGACAGGAATGTTATGCTCACAAAAAAGGTAATGCAACAAACTACTTAGTGTTTTTTTGTCAAGGTATGGGGCAACAGACTTCATGTTTGATTGTCCTACTTTCACGTCTTAGTGACATTTAATATTTTTTGTCTTATAGCAGGCATACTCAATTATATACAAACCAAACATACCTCTCCAGCACTGCATTTAGTGTATCTTGATCTATATCTGTAAAACCTTCAGCATTTAAAGCATCAGCAGTGTTCTTATCAATCATCTCCAGGCACAAGGAAGCCAACTGTGGCTCATCAAACAACCGGGCTTGAGTTAGCAACAAAAAAGCATTGTCCATTCCCAAATTACTTTTCAAAAAATCAACACAATGTTCTTCCAATGCAGCTACAGCATACTTCTTGGCAGTGTACAGTGTTGTCATTACACTCTCTGGCCCAATTTGAACCTCATCAGAGTATAGGAACTTTAGCAAATGTAGGAAGGCTGCGGGCTCCACATCAGGCAGTTCTACTTCATCAGACTTGGTGGCCAGTACCCCATTGAACATGGCATCGAACACTGCGCTGCCCACGGACAACACGAACTTGTGCGCCGGTATCACTTGCTGGTTGGCGTCTTTGCCGACGATGAAATGCACGTCACTTAGAATTTCATTGTTAAAGAGAAATGACAGCCTTTCCTTGACGGTCGTTTTCGTCGCCTGCCAGTTGTGCAGGCGGCCACCAGTGTTATTAATTGGTTGGGGATTCTCTACCGCAGCGCAAGAAGAGGAAGGCTCGTTCACTTCTCCGTTATCTTCCTCCTGTATTTGTACGAGCTGCCGTGCTTGCTGATTGGACGGCAGCATGTTCTGTGGTGGTGGTGGCTCATCTCCACCACCACCACCACCGTCTTCTAGCCTCACGTTAAGCAATCTATTAACTATATCATTCTTAGACCCAGATGCCATAACGAGTGATTTTTCAGCTATCGCACATTACACGGACCGCCGTATATGCATGGATCACTATAATGTGTTTGTTATCTGTTTATTTACGAAGAATGTGGCTATAAGACACGATTTTAACTGCAGTGGTAACGATTTTCGCTTCTATTTTATTATTGTTTATCACAGCACGGAGATGTTTCAAAGATAATTTTTGACGCGTGACAGAAAAATCTTGGTATTGCTACTCAATGACGAATTCTACCAATAGTAGTAAAAATTATCAGCATGATTTTTCTTGTAGACTCGCGCTCGGTATCTGGCGATATTGAGAGTTTGTAAGATTGGAAGAAGTCTCTCCATTCTCCTATTTAATTTATCAGATGGATGAAGGATATTCTGTTAGTGATTACACAGTAGGTAAAGGTGCTCCAATCGTAGTATGAGCACATTGATATTGATATTTTGAACGACGGACGGAGTAATTCTAGCGTGCTTATTTTGGTAATCAAATGCATAAATATGAATGAATTAGCGAAGCTGAAGAATCGATTCTAAGATCTCTAAGTTACAATAATTACACTGAAACAACAAAAACATTAAGTAGACATCACCCTAACATACCTATGTATTAAACACTACTCGTACCTAAACAAGGTTGTAGATTCTGTTATTATGAATAAATTATATATTTCAAAATACGAGCAACCGCAGCTTTGCTTTGCATGGGTGCAATGCTGATACATATCTATAGAACTCCCTCTACAAACACTCTATCTAGTAAAAATCGCATTAATACCCGTAGCGCAGTTCAAAATATTTAAGCATATGTTAAATATTTAATATAGGGACAGAGATTTGTTTTATACTGTATGTTTACGATTTTATATGTTTTGTGTATTGGTCGTCTTATCGTGAGGGTATAGTGAAATGGTTTTGGTAAAGGAGCCTGGGAGTTAAATATAGGATCTAACTACAATAAAACAGCAGTTTTACGATTGTTATTATTTATTGACGACATCTAGACCAACATCAGTTCCTCTATACAAAATATTGTTTCATTTAAAATCCATTTCTTATGCTTACTACACCTCAATTCCTGCATCCGCTCCCAAGCAATTTAATTCAAACTTTATACAAACAAAATAATACATTATTGAAGAAGAAATTAAATAGGACATTGGTTTCATTTACCTAATACATTGCACAGTGTTACTAATCTATTTTAAAACTAAGGGCCTTGTTTCACGATGGCTGAATATCAACTATGTACCAAATAAATTTGAATATGGAACGTAATTTGTACAATGTTCAGGATACCAAGTGTGTAAAAGCCATGCTTAGGCTGTCGGCTTGACCGGATTACACCTCGGCCTAACAGAAAACCGGCGTGAAACAACCACAGCGTAGTGTTTCGCGTTTGAGTGAGGTTACTAAAGACCCAATCCTTCCCCTACCCCAATCCCTAATCCCCAAAAGGTCGGCAACGCACTCGAAACTCCTCCGGCATTGCGTATGTCCATGGGCGGCACTGATTGCTTACCATCAGTTAATCAGTGTGCTAGTTTGCCGTCCTATCACATAAAAATATACATAATAGGGTGGTGAAGAAGGCCCTTATTTAAAAATTGTCAGCGAAACATCTTGTGACACCATGAAAATCAAATATAAATCTTTTGGCTGAACCTTTTAGACTTTTAGGAATAATACATTTTGACTAGAAAGTACCAATATTGATTTTATTACTTCTATGAAGATCAAAGGAAAGGCTAGTTGAATAGTACTTAAGGAAATATTTTTCAATATGTCTATAATAATAAAAAAATATTCTAATGGATTTTACATAATTATTATTGAATCGAAATTATTTCCTATTTTTAACATGAAATTGTTTTTAGGAAAAGTTATTTATGTAAGTTGTCTTGAGAAATTGTTATTTACCCATACGAAAGGCTAACAGTGTTGCACATTAATAATAATTATATACATAAGTTATTATTCATAATACATACACTGAAATAATTTTCATTACTTTGGCATTGAGTAAAATTCAATATCTAAACATATTTAACGTTTTAATTTGAAATATATTACCCAAACGAGATTGTACTGTTTAAAAGGATCTACGTTAAATAACAATAAAATTCTAATCTGTGGAAAATGCAAATCAAATGCATTTTAAATAAAAATCTAATTTTTAATATTGATAGATTTCTTTTTCTAATATCAAATCATAAATATAATCGACGGGCGAAAACATAATAATAAAATAAATTTTATGGGATACCAATAAATAAATCTACTTATCTACTAACTAAAGCTACCAAGATTCAATTTAGGAATTATTTTCATTATAAAGGACACGACAATACATAGGTTAGGTACCACACACGGAACAAACATTAAATAAATAATTAACATTTTTATTCCTTCCCAAGCTTATCACAGATTTTCTTAATTAAAGGAAGAAGGCTTTTTATATAGCCAATAGTATAACCAGTGCTTGCGCCTCGCAGTTGCTACAAACGTATTGTTATCTCTTTTACTCGTAGTCGCTCAAGCATATTAATGTCTCACTCTCAGCACTGAATTTTATGTTAAAATATTTGGCTATATTACAGTACATTGTAATCACAATCTAGTTAATTATAATGTTTTTTAATTCCAAATAATGTTGGCTAAATAATCAATGCCAATACGAAGCTGCCAGTCTGCCAGTACTCCAGATATATCTCACTCTATCGCGTTAAACTTTATACCACTTTACCTATGAATAATTACTGAATCAATAATACATACCTAACAGAACTGAAATATAACATTTAAAATAAATAATCAAATCTAAATTTCATTAAAAGTTTGGTAAAAGTAACGTGTAACCAATATAGATGGTAGAAATCATATAAATTGGCGACACCACTATGCAAACAATGGTTTGACACTGGGTCCAACTTAGTTTAGGTTAGTTAGACACTTGTGTGTCTTTGCGTGTCGTGTTACGATAGAACATTTGATAGCACAAGACACGAGAAGCCACGATACAATAACATATCTACGCCATAAAACTTAATGAATATTGCCAGTGTTATAAAGTCCTGTTTGATAAGAGTGGGAGGGCCATGCTTCGGTACCACAGACGACTCAACCTAAAGACCGCGCTTTGTCAGGCATATGCATTCGCCAAGGTTTGGCAGTGACACTGCATAAGAGCCGGCCCCACCCCTATCTGTTTCTCATTCCCCGAGAATCAAAGCGAAATAGCAACATTGTCAATTTTGACATGTCCTTATACGAGCCAATGTAAACTAGACTACCTCTCCCCGCAACCCGCCACCATTCAGCGATTTTGTTTTCGTACTCAAGTTTGTTTACGGGTGGTCTTTACGTTGAATCGTTCGAGTTCGGTACGAAAGGATGGGCTAAACCGGAGTAGTACCACGGCCTCAAAGAAAACTACCCTTCTTTACCTCTCCCAATCCGTAAATCTCCGAAACCCTAACCCAGAAACGCACTTTCATCTGGGGCGCGTAGCCGTCTTATCACATAAAAAATTGGATACCTCTAAGTCTGCACCCTTTGGCTGTAATTAATTCAGTTCAATTGGACATACATTTCTGATAAAATATTTGTAATTATAATACTAGATACAGAAGTCCAATATTCATAACACTACATCATTCTAATAAAATAATATAACACTTATTGCAAAGCCGTAAAATTTAACTCTAACGATTTTGTGACACAATAATGTACTAAAATTTAATTTAATTTTTAATGTAGCAATACTGTTACTAAAACGTACAAAATTTCTATAGCTACGTTCTTATTTCAAATTCCTGTTTGCTATTTTTAAGGCGTGTAACTGGCATTTTTAATTTCTATAATATTAATTTAAAACTTTTCTATTTTTAGACTAATTATGAACTTGAAAAAAATGGAGTAATAGGTTGATCTTGATATGTTATTTTGAAATCACTATTCATTGATGGCCGTATAGTACCTATTGATTATAAAGAGTCTTTATTGTATCTACGAAGATTGAGAGAGATTTCTATTTAAAAAAAAAATCATAATTCCACTACTTAAAAACTATGACAAATATTGTGATGTCGATAAGGTCCAATTTTGCTTAGCGAAAAATACAGTTCGTTTAAAGTGGTTATTACACTTTACTAAATTTAGTCGCCTAAATGATTCAGTTACTAAATTCAGACAAATGCAATCGCATTTAGGAAGGTAGGTTTCTAAATTTAGGAAAAAGTACGGCTACTGACTCACTAAATCATTTAGAAACCTAACTAGAATCAAATTTAGGAAGGTGCGATCGCGTTTAGTCGATTCAGTCGGTACGCAGCACTTCGCGCGTGTGAATGTGTCGCTTCGTTTGTTGTGAGAAAGTGCGAGTTTTATGTTCTGTGGTGCGAGTCAGTGATTATATACTCTGTGGTGCGAGTGTTCGTGAATGGCGACATGGCGACGAAAGAAAAAGAAATTCTAAGCCATATAATCGAAGTCTATAAAGACATGCCATATCTATGGAACAAAAATGATAAAAATTACATGAATAAAACTATAAGAAGTGAAGGTTTCGAAGTGCTTCTCAGCATATACAAAAATATCGAAAAGGATGCTACAGTCAAAACGTTAAAGAAGAAAATTGATAATTTAAAAACAAATTACTTTAAAGAATTGAAGAAGGTAAGTTTTAACGTTGCTTTTATTATATATTATGTCAAAGAATGGGGGAGACAATAGGTTTTTATTTGTTTATAACTTATTTTAAAGGTCAAGGCGTCAAAACACACCGGTGCAGGGAGTGAAGATGTTTATGTACCAACGATATGGTATTACGACAGCTTCAGTTTTCTGGAAACTACCACAGAATCATGCCGTTCAATCAGGGACACAATAGAAGATGAGGTATATTTTATTTTAATTATTTATTAAATAGTAGGTACAGCATTAATCATTTTATCTTGAAACGCAACTCTGCCAACTGAGTTGAAATAATTCATGAATGTGTTTCGAACTTGGTTTCCTTCTTCATTACGCTGACTTTTACTTGTGTTCTTTAACGAAGTCAATCCATCAGTATGTTTTCGCCAATCCCCGTGACGTATTGAGCCTTGTGAAGTATTTTCATGATCTATCCATTTTCTGGTTATGTAATCTGGCTCCTGTTTTCTCAAATAGTTGTGTAGAGCACAACATGCCATTACCACGGCATCTACGTTGGAGAGATCTAGACTGAGGGGTCTCCGTAGTACTCTAAAACGCGAAGCCAATATGCCGAAGGCATTCTCCACCACTCTACGAGCTCTACTTAAGCGATAGTTAAATATTCTTCTTTCACGGCTAATACCCTTAAACGGATATGGTTTCATAAAATGTTTGTTAATGGAAAAAGCGCTATCCCCAATCAGAACATATGGGGCATGTGTTTCTGTGCCTGATAGTGGAGATGATGGTGGCAAATTCAAACAACCATTAACTAATTTTTGATAGAACTTTGTAGATTCAAATACGGCCGCATCATTAACGGAGCCATTGGTACCAGTTTGGACGTACATGAATTCATAATTCGCATTGACAACAGCAAACAATATTACGCTGAAAAATCCTTTATAGTTGTAAAATAGAGAACCACTTCCAGGCGGTTTTTCGATGCTAATATGTTTACCATCACAAGCTCCAATACAGTGATTGAAGTTCCATTTATCTTCAAATTCAGCTGCTACTTGTATCCATTCTGATTCTGTTTGCGGCAACTGAAAAATAATTATATAATTTATTTATTTTCAGGATTCATCGTTATCTTGCATAGAGGATACTCAGATGACAAATAATAGTACTTCCAATCAAAATATGTTTAAGAAGAAAAAGAAAGAAGCTCCTTTAAAACAACAGGACATTCTTGAAAAAGCTTCCGAATTATTGAACACAAAGGAAGAAGACTGGGAAATCCTTGGAAGATCCATTGGAATGCAATTGAGAGACGTGAATCAACAGCAACATATTATAGCCCGCAAATTAATATCAGATGTGATATTTTATGCTACATTAAACAAGTTGTCTGAAGAATCATTTGTAGGTGTAACCACACATCAATCTAAGGCTTCGTACCCATGGTTCACACCTTCACGATCATCATCTGCCCAGAGTGAATTTCATCCTGTTAGAACATCGTCACCATACCAGTCCCCGTATCCCCAATCGCCAAATTCTCCCCTTTGTAACTTACCACCCCAACAACAAATGCAGTCCTCACACCCTTCAGCATCCACGCAGTACCACAGCCAATCTTCAAATACTCGTCATAACTTACCACTTCAGCAACAAATACAGTCTTCTCACTTTTCACAATCACCAGAGTACCACAGCCAATCTTCAAATTCTCTTCATTACTTACCACCTCAGCAAAAAATACAGTACTCGCATTCTTCACCACCACCCACACAACATCACAGCCAACATTCAAATTCTCTTCATACTTTACCACTTCAGCTACAAAAACAATCTTCTCCAACCGTGGAATACACAATTCAAGTCCCACACCCCTCAGATCCTTTACCATCTGTACAACTTCATATCCCATCCCCTCCTCCACATTCAACTACGTTGGAGGAGACAATTGATGGATCTCTGCTGATTGAAGGCAATGGGGACATAATGAAAGACTTTTTAATTTTTGGTAAAAAGAACAAAAATATCTAAAAAAAATGTGCACATTAAATAAACCTTTTATATAAAAAAAATACTTTTATTTACTTACCTTTATATAATGTTCCAAACATGTATAAATAGCCGAACAGGTTTCAGGGATAATTATTGACAGCATGGGTTGAGATATTAGAGAACTGTATTTCAAATCTTGGTATGAATTCCCTGTTGCAAGAAATCGTAATGTCACTACCAATCTTTGTTTTGCACTAATACTGTCTCTTAAAACAGTATTTTGTTTTTGTATATATGGTGTCACAAGATTTAGTAAAATATCGAATGATCTTGAATCCATTCGAAGATAATTTCTGAAGTCTGCCGGTTCTAAAACACTCATTATATTCATGTTTGATAACTTGTCACGCAGTAATAAATATTCCTTGACCCACGTCTTTTTTTTTTTCTTCTTTTTTTTGATTGACCCAATGGCCATAACCACGGCAAGGCCAATTTTTTGATTTTTGGACAGCACTGGGGCCATTTTATATTTACTGGAGTAAAACGTCCGCCTTTGTTGCGTTTCAGCAGGCAACTGATTTAGTAACTAAATTTAGAATAGTGTGATTAGAAGCTTCTAATTTCGTTCCTTTTCTGAATCCTGATTTAGGCTACTAAATTTAGTAAAGTGTAATAACCACTTAACTTAAACATATATGGTATTGGTAAACAAGCACAAGCAAAATTTTAACTAGACGACAGCCAATTTTACAAAGCACGCACGAATTCAATTTCAGACTACAAATCTCGATGTTACATATTAAAAAAGTCACTTTTATAAAGGCCCGTCGATTTTTTTGTTTGTTTGTATTATGAATTTATTGGGCCCAATAAAAGTCGAAAGCCATGTATGTAATGCTCAGTATAATGTTAAATAAAAAACACAGTGAGAGAGGTAACAATAAAGGATAACCAATATCTTTTTTATTAATTTTTTTCGCGAAATATTTTTGCAATTTGTAAAAAAAAATATAAATCTGAATACAATAGATGTAATTCTATATCTTTAATATCCAAAAGAACACTATGGTCTATCGGTCTGATTAACTAAATGTTAACAATCTTGGCATGTCTTTTTATCTAAAAATTTTGTGTAATAATGGTTTCAATAAGGTATTTAACTAAATCGATGTTACCTAATTAACTTTATTTAAATAATCTTTGTACGTATTTTAAAGGAGTTCTTTAATATAAAAACACATACCAAGATGGTTTAATACCTAAACCGATAGACCATAGATACTGTGACCATGACCATAACCAAGCATTACATACATAACATCCCTAATAAATGTTGCCAGTCCAAAATTTAATTTAAGAACCAGCTACAAATGTTGCCACTATTTACGCGGGAATAAAATACTAAATGTAGAAAATAATGGCCGGTATTTGGCCGTCCTCTACCGAGGTGCCGTTGTTATTACCGGCAGCGTAAGAGAACTGGAATACGACTTTCTCACCGTTATTGCAGTCGACCGTTACCCATCGAAGGCCCTTCGTACCGTAGTAAGAATCGGTGCCCTGAAAAGATAATAAACGAAATTAGAGGATATATTTTTTCTACCCTGATCTTTGAACACTGAATAGTCAGTATATAAATTTGTCTTTGAACAGCTCCCCAGCTGAACGCTTGTCAAATAAAATAGGAAAGACGTTATACGGGACCGACATATGCTAACTCGCATCGAGGAACAGTATATCCATATCTTTAGGATGTAGTTCGAAAGAACCCTAGATCGATTGAGCAGCAATCACGATGGTTTGGTCTTATATAGACAATATTAAAATTTGTTCGTTTGGTGAGGGAACAAAACTTAAAATAAAACACAGACTTAAAACAAAAGAATAATAGATTGAAATAATAATTATGACTTAAAGACTACTGAATGACTAGGACACGAACTGAGAAAACATTCTAGAAAATAAAAAAAGGTGACCCATGCGCAAAAGGAAAAACATAACGCAAAAATCATAATCTCAATGAAGATTTCTACTGGGAAATCCTCACCTCTTTTCAAGCTTCTTATTTACTTAAAAAGTATTGCTTTAGGCCCGAAAGCAATGGACTGGCCTTTTTTTAGTAGGGTCACTTCCCGGCGCCGGCCCGAAGCAATCTTTATTATGAACGAACAACCTTTTTGCGCGGGATTTTTTTTGCAATTATAAACGGTAACTGTGAGCGTTTTGTTTTTTCTGAGCTGAAGTGCTTTCTTCACACCCATCTGGGAATTAAAGAAAAGTAATGTGTATCAGTTCATTCTTATCTCGACCTTACATACTAAGCTTATTATTTTAAAGTTTAAATCTAAGAAAAAACGTTCGATTGCGCAATGATGAATGATTAATGACGCGCCAACTTTTTTATATTGCGCAAAGTTGCGCAAATCACTAATTATGGCGTTACTTTGCGCAAACGCCATTGCCAACTTCCTTAGACTTTACACTAAAAGAGTTTGAATAAAAATAAAAAAAAAACAAAAATAATTTAAATATACACTGGTACACATTTTTTCTTTATTCCCAATTTTATAATTTAATTATATGGTATGGTTTTTCTGACTTAGATAAACAGAAGCACTAAGTCTTAGCTGAAAGTCGTTACCTTTAGTTTAGCACTAGCTATGTAAGATGTGTTGGGCAGGATCTCCACCGGCTCCTTAAACATGGCGCGGAAAGTATCGTCCGTACCGTCGCAGCATAAAGTCGTCGTGTTAGAACCACAAACTTTTTTCGTCGCCAAATGAATAATCTGTAATGTAAATAATAATATTCAAAATTACACTTTATTAACATGTAGCTTAAAGGTTCTTATTTATGTTCAACTAACCTGTAAGTGCACCTCATACTCCGTTGGCCCATAATAGGACCCGTATAATCCAAACCCAACCACAAAAATTCTCTGATCCACTGTAAATCTAATCCTATCAGTAGTTCCGCAGTATCCCCATCTGGAGTCTGTTTGCGGAAACCTGTTCACTGTCAGCTCTTCGCCAGTCATACAACATCTTGGGGCATCTAGGAATCCAACATTAGGTTTAGGATTCACAGTAAAATATAGGAACAGTTGTACAATCTCCCGGTCATCCAGAAGACCACTTTGCGCAGGACCCATCGCAAATTCTTTAACAGACATTAGAGGGAATCTGATTGCATTGAAAGCCCTTCCTAGGACCATCCTTTGGTTGGAAGGTGTTACTGGTAACTGTCGCCTTATGCATTCAGCTTCAGACCAGCGGACCACTGCTGAGAAGATTTTAGCCTCTCTTATGCGGAGAGTGTCCCTGAAGGAAAAAGGAATAATTTAGAAAATCGAAATGTAATCTGTTGAACCTGGATTTGTCTCTAGTGATTGAAGACAAAGGTTTATATGTATGATAAAATTTTTGATAATAGGGCAGTAATTTTGCATCAGCATTGTAGCCATAAGAAGCTGAGGCAGGTCACTTGTTTACAGTAATTTATAGGATAATTTTGAACTTTCAGGTTTATACTAGTTCCTTAAGTATAGACACATTTATTTAAGAGACTTTATATCACTTAACAAGTAGGTAATAAGTAGTTTAGATTCCACAAACTATTTATTACCTACTTTTTTGACCCTACTTTGGAAATTATTTATCAATATATTTATATCAACATTACATACAAAGTTATGTTATCAGAATTATCTCCAAAAATATCAAATGCCCTACTTTTAGACTGCAACCAGTAAACTTGTGTGCTACTTCTAATTAGTAAATCATTGGAAAAGGGCCAAGCCATTCTAGATGTTATGTATATCAAAATAGTTATCAAGATATTATGTCATGTATGAAAATAGTCAATTATTATCAATGTGTAAATTGCTTCAGAATTAAGAATAAGGTCAATAACCTTTTCAATTTCAGCAAACAATTAAATGTAGATTGAAGAAATTGAATAAAAAAATTAACTTGTACAGCAATTATTTCAGATATGAAGGTAGTACCGTACATTCTTTATGACAAAAATATTTTGTTACATTTTCACACACACATACCTCTCTAGCACTGCATTTAGTGTATCTTGATCTATATCTGTAAAGCCTTCAGCATTCAACGCATCAGCAGTATTCTTATCTATAATTTCCAAGCACAGAGCGGCCAATTGTGGCTCATCAAACAACCGTGCTTGTGTTAGCAACAAGAAGGCATTATCTGTACCCAAATTACTCTTTAAAAAATCAACACAATGTTCTTCCAATGCAGCCACAGCATACTTCTTGGCAGTGTACAGTGTTGTCATTACACTCTCTGGCCCAATTTGAACCTCATCAGAGTATAGGAACTTTAGCAAATGTAGGAAGGCTGCGGGCTCCACATCAGGCAGCTCTACTTCATCAGACTTGGTGGCCAGCACCCCATTGAACATGGCATCGAATACCGCGCTGCCCATTGAAAGCACAAACTTATGTGCCGGTATCACTTGCTGGCTGGCATCTTTGCCGACAATGAAATGCACATCACTCAAAATTTCATTGTTAAAAAGATACGACAGCCTATCCTTGACGGTCGTCTTCGTCGCTTGCCAGTTGTGCAAGCGGCCACCGGTGTTATTAATTGGCTGGGGGTTCTCTATCGCCGCGGACGAGGCGGGTGGCTCACTAACTTCTCCGTTCTCTTCCTCCTGTATTTGTACGAGCTGCCGTGCTTGCTGGTTGGAAGGAAGCATGTTCTGCGGCGGTGGCTCATCGCCACCACCCCCATCGTCTAGCCTTATGTTCAGTAATCTATTAACTATATCATTTTTAGACCCAGATGCCATAACGCGCGGATTTTTAACTAGCACACATTACACAAAGTGCTGAACGTGCCCGAAACCCGTCGTATAAGTTTGAAAACTTATGTCTTTTTAAAAAATGTAGGTGTAGGATATAATTTATAGTGATTTGTTGTAGTAATTAGACTCAATTGTTGTTTATCATAGCACTGTTCGAACAATTTTTGACGTGTGACAGTAAAATATAGGTATTGCCAGAATGAGAAAATTCAAAATAAATGTCTTTCGTAGATTTGGTAAATTTTATTTTGTGTTTTAGGTAGACGGGTTATCTCATGGTTAACTATCACCGCCACCCATATCGCACAGCATTTCCGTTAGTTAAATCATACACGGGGTACCTACCTCATGCATACCCTTCTTCAAATTTCTGTGCACGCCACAAGTACCTACATACGGCAGTGACAGTAAGGTAAAAAGTAAGTAGTGGGTAGGTACATACTACGTACACGTACTTGCCCAGTACTATTAGTTTCGAGAGCTGGAGAAGGAACGGGGAGTTAATATCCCTCTTCAAAAAAGCCTACATATCATTTAACTTTGTAATCTTATCTTCTTCAATGAGAATTGTTCAATTCGAACCTTTAGTTCTGGATATAAGTTTAGTTAATACAAACAAATTCTTCAGCTTTATAATTATCCAGTACTTTATGTATGAATAAGACCAAGTGTAATGTTTCGTTGCATAAAGTTTAAATAAATAAATAAATAAAGTGTGGGAGAGCCATGCTTCAGCACGAATGGGTCGGCTCGACTCGAGTGATACCACGGCCTCACAGAAAACTGGCGTGAAACAACCACAGCGTTGTGTTTCGTCGTGTGAATAAGCTTACCGGAGGCCCAATTCTTTCCCTCCTCCGATCCCTCCCCAGTCCCCAAATCTCCAAAACCCTTATCCCTAAAAGGCAATGCACTCGTAACTCCTCCGCTACAGGCGGCCATGGGCGGCGTGATTGCTTACTATCAGGTAATGCGTCTGCTCGTTTGCCGACCTATTACATAAAAAAGACCATAGGGTCTTATACAGTAAAGTCATAGGACTGTCAACACAAATTGCACTCCGAAACTGCTGAACCAATTTGTATACAAATTTACCAGTGGATGGCGGGATCGGGATCATGTAGGTTTTGAGAGAAGCTTTAAAAATTATGGGGAAACTGCGGCCATTCATATTATGTGCTAGCGAACCTCCCCAGCTTTGCACGGGTGCATTGCTTATACTAAAATGGGTGTTTTTATAGATATAAACTTCAAACACTATCTATTAAAAAACCGCATCAAAAGCCGTCGCTTAGGCTTAAAGCTTAAAGCATAAATAGGGATAGAGGTACAGAGAGCGGCTTACGTTTGAAATGAAGTATAAAATCCCTCAAATGACTTTCCAACAAAAAAAACAATTTATAAGTATCTAAAATTAGCACGGCGCCCGGCCAGAACCAGATCAGAACGTACCTACTGCTCACAATTTCATCAGACCGCCAGAGGTTGGACCCACTAGGGCAACGTCCAGCAGGGATTGCGGTACAAGCGCGTAAGCGCAATGATCAATCGCTATCGGCCTAGAGCAGGAGAAGGAATGGGGGAGGTTTTAGTCAGTAAGAGTCTGACACTCCCTCTCGCCAAAGTAATTTTATGACTTTCACCACCCAATGGCTGAAAAGAATGTTTTGTGCAACTTCAGTTAAGGCCTCCGCGCATCTTTCGCCATGTCTGTCGTATGTCGTTGCTGATCACGAGTATGAGCCTCTAGCGTGGCTTGAAACTAGTCGTGTTACCTCCAATCAATCTGTAGCGACATCTAGCGCACTACATAAACAACAGCACCAATCACGAGCAAGAGTCTACATCGCGCTATAAGAGTTTTCAACACAATTAGCACCCATACAGATATCCCGACAACAACCGTCGGGCAGTAGCCCACCAGGCACGAACACCTCGCCTGGTCGGAGGATCCTCCCTTTTCAATGGAGGATGAGGAACTTTCCACCCTGTTCCTCATACCTCCAAAACTGGTGACCCCGAGCATGAACATCAACGCAGCCTTCGTGCAACTACGTCATAGCCATGACGTCATCACTTCCTCGAGCTTTCAAGCAGCGAATCCTACAGTCAGCCAGCTTCCACGGCTACAACGGGTTCCCTGACCACCAGCATGCAGCCAACGCGCATTCCTGGTCAGCACCTACACCCTCATCAGCAACTTCGGCACAGCATACTGCACCGGCCGGTCAGCAAGCAGAGACGTACTCCCTCTCCTGGTCGACGCAGCAGCTAGCCACTCTTCAGCACTGCACCACCCGACTCACTGGGGCACCTTCGCAGACAGATTCGACGCACTGAAACCATCAACTGGCTCGACAAGCATCTCACAGACGTCTCAACCAGCTAACGACCTCCGGTCTCGGAGGGCGACATCTAGCGCACTACATAAACAACAGCGACATCTAGCGCACTACATAAACAACAGCACCAATCACGAGCAAGAGTCTACATCGCGCTATAAGAGTTTTCAACACAATTAGCACCCATACAGATATCCCGACAACAACCGTCGGGCAGTAGCCCACCAGGCACGAACACCTCGCCTGGTCGGAGGATCCTCCCTTTTCAATGGAGGATGAGGAACTTTCCACCCTGTTCCTCATACCTCTAAAAATCTTTTTTAATAATAATAACATTTTAAATCAATTAATTAATTAAAATAGGTAAATCCCACTAAAGTTATAATACCAAAAATCATAAGTTCTGTAGATGTTTACAATATTTAAATAGACTTAGGTAGAAAGATATATACAAGCAAGAGTTTTTGATGTCCTAACAATAATTAGAGTTATATTAGCTACTATAGGTATATACAGTTAGTAAAGCACTTATAACCTTATGGTCTTGAACAAACTTGTGGCGCGTGTCACACAAAGATATGGCGGGCATGGGCGGGCACGGGAGTTTTATTGCCGCGGAAACTGCGCTCACTGGCCACGCACAGTCCTACGAATGTTCTAACGAGACCTATTTTAAATTTAGATTCTATTTTTGAATTCATATTTAAATGATTAAATTTTTAAGTATTTTTTTTAATCCGAAGCCTTTATTGATAACTATATTCGTTTTTTAAAATATTCAGAACCATCTAGAATGGACCTGATGATAACTTACAAATTCAGATGGAATTATGCTGTGATGTAATTAGATGGAATAAACCATTCCCTTCTTTACAGAACAATAAAAATACATTGCAAATAATTTGCATACTCATTTAATTAGCCAAAACTATCTGTTCTCTGTTCTATGGCGTTTCTCGTACGTCATGAAGGGCACGCACGCGCGCAACGGTCGATTCAGCTACAGGTGCTGGCCCGGCAGTCGAACCGTCGCCGTCTACCACGCAACACCGTACAGCCCTCGGCTGCCTGCAGGCAAACAAGGCGATACCGACTATGACAGACTGATCAATCAAAAACCATTCTAAAATTAACAAAACGCTTTCAAACAAATAAACAGGCTGTAACAATATTTATAGCAAAAGTTGCCTCAGTAAAACTGATTGCGTTTACAAATTCAACAGGCGCCACAACATTTCGTGATTATGACTAGTGTAAATAATCTTTGAAAGTTTAAATATTAATGGTTGTCCTGTTTTCTCTACTGTTGTTATAACGCGTTGTCTGTTCGTCTATAGACTTGTGTGAGATCTAAGTGTTCACTTCTATAAATAATGTTGTTTCCCTCGTTGTTGATCTTGAACTGTATGTTTTCTGCGTACGTTCGTGTAGTGTCGGTGACATAATTCTATTATAATATGAATACGATTAAGTAAAGGTGAGTTGTCAATCGATATTTTTACGGTATGTAGTAAAGTTATAAACAAAAACACTCAGCCCACATGCCAGCTATTTTTACGTGGTAGGTACATGCAGAGATGGTGGCGTAGACACTGTATTAATAAATTAGCGGGATCGTGTGGCAGTGTCCAATGAAGCAGAGATATTATGTAGGTACTTACCTAACGATGTAATATATAATTAAAATAGACCTTTACATGAAATCACGTTTTCGTTCTCCCATTACTGGTAGACATTATTTACACTAAGTAAATAGCACTCACGTTCAATTACCTATTGTCTATTTCTAACAAAAAGGTCACATCGGTAGGTAATTCTACTAGCATTCTTATTAACCCATCAATTTTATATAAAATGTTATTCTAGAGTTTACTGTTCCTATACGCATTTGTAGAAAGCTCGAGAGAAAGTTTCTGCTTTCCATATGAGAATGGGTTGTCGCCTTGTATTAAGGTCGTTTTTGCAATAAATTTAATTCTTAACTTATGATAGGGATGCCTAGAGTGCGGGTGATAATTCTAGAATAGAAGTAGGTTCTATACTAGAATGTACATACATATTATATTATGTAGCTCATACCTGAAAAACATTGATTGATATTTATATATACAAGTGCATATATACATAATCATGCATATATACATAGGTATATTTCTTTCTTTTTAAAAGAGTAAAAATGGATTTTCTTACTTGTTCTTCTCTATTCGAATCTCTTGGTACCGTGGAACAAATACCTAGCTTCACTGACGAACTGACTGACAGACTAATATTCTATTTTGACGTTTCAAAAGTAGGTACCTACCTACCTACCTGTATGCAGAGTAGGAATAAATTTTTTGACTATTTTTTTTTTTTTTTATAAATAGTTAAGAAACCTTTTTTTTGTAGTTTATGGCCTGGATACAAGCCTTTAAGCCAATAAAAAGTTACCTGTGCAATCGTAAACATAGATTTTTGTTAATTTAACAAAACGCAACTAAATTAAGAAAACTCTGCAAAATTCTTTTGCAGACAGATCGAGGCTAAACACAAAAATAAGTTTCTGAGCTTACATTAAACTTCTAAATAATTTTTCAAACATTACATAATTACCATGACATCCATAAAAAGTAGCACTGTCGAACATATAGACTTTACCCATTGGTTACAAAATAGGCTGTCGGAACTTTGAAGGGACCTGCATTCAATAAAATTGATTCCTGTGACCACTGTGACGCTATTTGCCATAGAATTTAGATCTTAATCCCGAGACTGGGTATAATTTGTTTTGAAACGAGAATATTATCGAATCTTCTCTCACGCCGGCTGTGGGACTGTCAGACTTTACTGACTAAAAACTTAAATTCTTTATCCTACTCCAGGCCAAGGCCGCGGCAACCTACTGCGCTTGACCTGCAACCCCGGAGGTTGCACCTACAGTTTGTGGTTACAAGCAAACTCATAAACGTGCACCAGCATAGATCTCTGCTAATATAATTAAAATCTTTGTTGAAAATAACGTACGCTACTCAAGACCCGATGTGTCATAAAACAAGTTGAGATTATGCTTTTATCGGAAATGTCGAATTTAGAATGTGCGGCATTCTAAATTATTTAGAATTTTCTTGAGTTTTGTTTATTATCTTTTTTTTTCTTAAATTTAAAATGTCAGTAATTCTTAATTTGATTTTTTTTTGTTTATTACGTTTTAATTATTGTTATTTGGCGAAATACTTATCTAATTAGAACCTACGTCGTAGTTGAGGAAATTTTTTTATCGAAAATTTCGAACATAGAATGTGAGGCGTGCAAAATTTAAAATTTTCTATAACTTGTTTTTATTCATTTTTTTTTCTTGAATTTGGATTGAGAGTCATTCTAAATTTGAAATTTTCAGTTCATTACGTCTTAATATTATTGGGTGATATAAGATATGGTACAATATATTGTGATTTTTTTACTAAAGTTTATAAATGTCTTTTTTGTTTCAGATATAAGCAATGATGCTGAGCCCAAAGATTCAGCGGTCGGTGCGTGTGAACGATGGTCAGCTGTTAGCCCTTTCTGATAGGGCGCAGTATGACCACTCACAGGTTTGTAAACTTTTAAGTATCATTTTAACAGATCAGCCCACACGTTCACTTTCCCAAAATGTCCAATAGATTGATAACTTATATTAACATTAATAAGGTTGAAATTCGATTAAAGCTATTAAAAATTCGAGATTATTTTATCTGCTGGCTTAAGTACGTTTCTAGATTTGTAACTATTTATTTATTGTTACATTAAAACCATGAATTCAAAATGAAGGCTCTAGAATCAAGAAGAGCCTAGATCACTTTTTTTGAAGTTTCTTCATGTCAATTTTTCTACAAAGTTCTCGATTGATATTTATTTGTAATTCGTCGCAGGCCCAGGTTAAGGCACCTGCTTCTCATGCATGAGGTTGCGTTTTCGCTGGCACCAGTGTGACTTTTCTAAGTTATATGTATGTAGGTAGATTTTAGATTTTAGACCTTCTTAGCATATTTGGACACCACTGACATATCTACGGTAATGGAGAAAAAATTGGCCAAATAATTTCTAATAAAAAAAATTGAAATCGCTAAGACAAAATCAAACCTTCATCGTGTGACTAGAGGGCTTTGCTCAGCAGTGACTGTGAGCACTTATAGCCTGACGTTGTGATGATATGTGTAGTTCGTTTGACGTAATTTCTGTTTTCATTACACTTAATCACTACATAGTATAAAATAACGTCACTTTCTTTGTCTAAATATCCATATGTATGCTTAAACCTTTAAAACTACGCAACGTATTTTGATGCGGTTTTCTGCTGGTTAGATGATTGAAGAGGCAGGTTTATGTGTAAAATATATCATTCATTATACAATGAGAAGTCGGGGCGGGTCTCTAGTATAATACATATATTATGACATATTCATGTATTTACTTTATTCTTTACAAGTATATAATTATTAGTTTTAATATTTATATTTTTTTTCAGACTGGCTATCTCCACAAACGGAGTTCCGACAACACAAAATGGCAGCTACGATGGTTTATACTTTATCAAGTAAGATTTTTTTTTATATCATAGTTTTTATGACGTATATCGGCAAACGAGCAGACAGATTACCAGATGGTAAGCAATCGGTGGCGCCCATGGACACCCGCATCGGAGGAGTGCGTTGGTGACTTTTTAGTGATTAGGGTTTTGGAGATTTATGGATTGGGGAGGGCTCGGGGAGCTGAATGATTGGGCCTCCTATAACCTCACTCACATGGCGAAACACAACGCTGTGGTTGCTTCACGCCGGTTTTCTGTGAGGCCGTGGAATCACTCCGGTCAAGCCGACCCATTCGTGCCGAAGCATGGCTCTCCCACACTTAAAACCTCACTAAACACTACGTTAGTGTTGCTTCCATGGATGTGTTATACTAATAATACATCCATGGTTGCTTCACACCGGTATTCTGCTGTGGCGCAGAGGTATCACTGCAGTCTTGCCGAAGCGTGGCTAAGCTGCATTGTAGCTACAAAAGTGATGAAATAAAACTGAAACTAAGATCTTTATGAATGCACAACAATTTGACATTTAAAAAAAGAACGGTTTTATAAAGGGCGTTGCTTTGTGAAATGGAAAATTGTTTAGTGCATTGCTAATTCAAGTAGGTAAGGTAGGTACCTAGTTAGGGAAACGTTGACCTTTTGAGTAGTGCTAGGATGCAGTAGAGATCAAAATGTCAATTTCATTTTCTACCTAGCTTCAGTCAGCTCACAACTTCGGGCGCTTAGAATAGTGAATTCAGCTTTTATTTTTATTCCAATTTCCAAAAAAGGTGACACCCTTTATTGACCCTAATCATATGAGATACCAACCAGGGTTGCGGAACAAGCGCAATGAGGCACCGCGGCCTCGGCCCAGAGCAAGTTGTTTTTAGTCAGTAAGAGTCTGACACTCCCTCCCGCCCCACCCTGGGCGGGAGAAAGCATTTGATGATTTTACCCTCACCAAAAAAATATGAGAGTAATTAAAAAAGTTTGAGATACACACACAACATAAGTTTTATCCAAATCCGTCAATTAGTTCTAGAGATTAACGTGTGCATTAACAAGTACACAAAAAAACTAAAACAGTGTTTTTTTTTAGAAATTATTTTATAATTATTACTTTTTAAAAACCCCAGATGCAAAAACAAAGCCGTGTTGTATGTTTGTCGTGTCTATGTAACTGTCTGTTGCATCGTAGCTCTCAAACGGATGACTCGATTTTTATGCAATTTTTTTTATGTTTATCAGACGAGACTGTTCTTAGCCATATTTGGTGGAAATCGGTTAAGGTCTTCAAGGTCATCAGATCGTTGACTGGAATGATACCTATACACTCAGTTGACATGCAAGTTTTCTGTTTTAGATACATTTCAAAATTAGAAATATCTAGGGCTACTTGAAAAACATATTTTATTGCAAAACAGACTCAATGTTATTGGGAATAAAATTCAATATTTAGTTACAAGTGGATTATCGTTCCTCGGAGGACTCTGCGGAGGGAATAGATAGATTATAGGTCTAGTAAGATACGATCGGAGTGCATTCAAGCGAGTTCGGAGGGACTTAGGTGCCTGTAAAATCTGTCGCACGGTTTCCAATCTATTGGGCGACAGCGTAATATTGATCGGATATTTGTCCGAATTTTAAGGTTGTTTTAGTTTTAGCTTTAACTTATAGCAAATATGACTCATAACATCACAATATTAGAGCCACTAGAATTAGACATTAAGGTCCATTTTTGAATAATAAAACTATCGTGAGACTTATAGTTGCTTTAGTTTTAGCTTTAACTTGTAAATGTGCCTCATAAATCATAACAGAGCTACTAGAATTAGACACTAAGGTCTATTTTTGAATAATAACTATCGTGAGACGTACTAAAATTGACAATAACGACTTACTCGCGTGAATAAATCGAGAAATGCTCTACTAGTTTCAAGTCACAACGGGACTCTTATTCATGAGCAGCGTGTGCGTCGCGGCGACTTCGACGACATTACTAAAACTACACTCATTTTGCATAACATTTTCTTAGTAAACTATCGCCTATTTAGACACTGACGTAGAGATACGAATTCATATACACAAAAGTTTGACTGCACGGTTGGCGCAGTGGCTGGGCAACTGGATGCTGTGCAGAGTATCGTCGGTTTGATTTCCGCACGCAACATCCAAAAATGGTTATTCCGGATATGAGTGTAGTGTGTATGTGAAATTGACAACATGACACAGGAGAAAATTCTGTGAGAAAAAAGTGTGGGACAACGTTTTTTGTTTTGGAAAATACTATTCAGATATGTAACAGAAATTAGTATATCCCACAAACTTTTGTTCCGTGCGGAAATTGAACCCGCAATACGTTGCACAGCAGCTAGTGTATGTGGCTACTGTGCCAACCGTGTAGTCGACCGCACTGACAGGAGTGAAATAAATTAGAAAAGGCATATATTTAGGTAAAGATGTTTTTCTTTCTTTTTTTCTTAAATAAAATTTTGCCCTACACTCGGATTTTGTCTTGTGACATGGGTGGTGCATATACAATTCACATACACATCACACCCAGGCCAAGAACAACAATTTGTGGATCACACAAAGAGTTGTTCCGTGCGAGAATCGAACTTTTAACACGTTGTGCGGCAGCCAGTTGCCCAGTCACCGCGCCAACCTTGCTCTTATGTCATCTATATATTTAATAGGTAAAGACTTATTCCACACGAACATTTTTCAAACCCTCTCTGCCAATGCGTTAAAAAATAAAAGCGTAAACTTACATCCAACGGGGTTTTAATTTGGCTGAGTATTCGAAGTCATTTGCTTTGACTACAATACGAAGTAGGGTTGCCAACTATACTGTTAAAAACAGTATTATACTGTTTTTCATTACATTACACTAAGTCAAGTCAAAAATCATTTATTTCAATTAGACCACAGTAGGCACTTTTGAACGTCAAGCAAGCAAAAAAGGAAAAAGTATATAATATGAGCTTTAAAATTAAGCGTGTCAGTCTGTCCGTCTGTCCTCTAGTGAAGCTATTTGCTCGTTCCAAAGTGTAGATTCCTATGGAGAAGAACGAGCAAGAAACTCCATGGTTACTCTTTTTCAATCAGTTTTACAATACATTTCTTTGTTACATAATTTAGTCGGTTCTGATATGTGAGAACAATGTAACACTAATGTTCAGGCAAAAAGTACGAAAAAGAAGTGAACCTCAAGGACAAAATATTTAGACAGCCTGGAGATGACCAGTCCCAATTGGCGGCGCCCGTTCACGAACATGACACGTACACCAGCACCGCCCAACTCAACCATATTATAGGGAATTGGGCGATCCAGTGCCCGTGCCACCGCCAATGAGACCTCTGAGTGAGCATGACAGCTCCCAGCCGACTAACTTAACTTAACTTACAATAGATAATGCATCTACAAATAAATCACAATCACAGTAATAGCGTTTCTGAACAAATCTGTAAATGTCAGCGTAATATATTAAAGTCAGGAGTGACAGTACTGATTGCTCCCGCCCAGGGTACCCTGGGAGAGAGAGAATGTCAGACTCTTACTGACTAAAAACTCCCATTCCTTCTCCTGGTCTGGGCGGAGGCCGCGGTGCCTCATTTTTTTTATGTAATAAACCGGCAAACGAGCAGTCGGATTACCTAATGGTAAGCAATCAGCGCCGCCCATGGACCCGCAACGGAGGAGTTACGAGTGCGTTGCCGACCTCTTAGGAATTAGTGTTTTGGAGATTAAGGGATTGGGGAGGGATCGGGGGAGGGGAAAGATTGGGCCTCCGGTAATCTCACTCACACGGCGAAACACAACGCTGTGGTTGTTTCACGCCGGTTTTCTGTGAGGCCGTGGTATCACTCCGGTCGAGCCGACCCATTCGTGCCGAAGCATGGCTCTCCCACACTTAAAATTGCGTTTGTCTTTAAAAAAAGTTGGCAACCCTAGTAGGAAGGGCGACATAAAAAGTAAATACGCGTGTAGTAGAATTTTATTTTAGCGTAAGCATTTCATCCAAGTTGTAACGTAAGGGAAATCCTCAGGAGAACATTCCTCGGGAAATGGAACGTGCATAATGCCGGAAGCGAGACGGAGACGGTACGGGGACGACACGACTCCTACCTATTGGCATTATGAAATGACGACTTCGTAAATAACTGTTGTCTTATTGATTTACTAGCGAACCGCCGAGACTTCGCATGGGGGTAATATTTAAAGCATATCTTACTAATATTATTCACCTATGAACACCCGCAACGATAGGAGTTACGAGTGCGTTGCCGACCGCTCGCGCTGATGCGACATGCCGATTTGGGTAATTGGAGATTTAGGGATTGGGGATGAATTAGGGAGGGGAGGGTATGGGCCTCCTGCCAATACACGACAAAACACAACGTTTCCTCGGGGAAGTGATCGGCGGCGGCGATTCGAAATTTTGGTTCGAAGCGAGAGGAACTGGAAAGCCGTCTCTTCTTTCTGCGAAGCAGTGATGCTCGCAAAGGAAGGGCGGAGCGTATGAGGAAACTATCCTCCTCGCACCCCAGCTGCCGCAGACGACATTCCGGGCGTCGCCGTAGGTCGCCATCCGACCAGAACCAGACCCGAGCGTACGGCGCGTAGCGTTTCGCGCGCGCCTCAAAGAGCCAATAGACCACCACAGACGGGGCCCTATAGGGCTGATGTTTCGCCGGGTTTACGGGTTAAGCGCAACAAGGTTAAGGTCACCGCGGCCTCGGCCCAGAGTAGGAGAAGGAACGGGGGGGTTTTTAGTCAGTAAGAGTCTGAAACTCTCTCTCGCTTTACCCTAAGCGGGAGAAGTTATTTAATGATTTTCCCCTGACAAAAAAAAAGTATTTTCGTCTGCTCGTCTGCGGACCTATCCCATACCTAACAAAATAAAATAAATGTAACTAATTAGTCGTTACAAAAGAACGTCGAAGAAAGTAGGACGGTCGTCGCTGGCTCTGTTTTAACTTATTCATTTAGTTGGAGTCTTTGGAGAACAGGTCTTGTAAAGAAACTTTTATTATTTCTAGTACAGTTGTTTTTCTATTTCTTGTGTTATATATTATAGGTAAATTAGTTAATAAAATGAAAATATTTCATATCAGCGTAACCGTTAAGAGAACGAATATGCGTTGCGGTGATGACGTCACAGAGTTTACGGGCGACCTTTTATAAAAAAAAACAGTAGTCGGACTTATTTTTAACAGAATCAATTGGTTTCGAATATGGTATTGTTATATTAGACGTCCACCTGCAAGGGGGACAGACAACCTGATTAAGGTCGCAGGAAGCCGCTGGATGCAGGTCGCTTCCAGCCGACCTATCTGGAAGTCAATGGGGGAGGCCTATGTTCAGCAGTGGACGTCCTGTGGCTGATGTGATGATGATGATGATGATGATGATGATATTAGACGTGATAGTGTTTAAGACTAATAAATTGTGGAAAGGACATGGCCAACTTTTGTATGGGCGTTTGCATAGTTATTGAATTCAATGTACATCAATGATTTTTGGTGTTTACATTCGTGAATATTATTAAATTAAATTGCAATAAATAAAACACTTGAAGAACTCGTAATTATAACACACAAGACGAAAATAGTTTTACTAAACCTTTAGTCAGATTACTGGCCATAAGTGCACGAAATAAGATTTTGCTTTTAAAAACCATGGCGTTTTAATTATTTATTTATTTATTTATAAAATAAAACAAAAAAATATGTATAAAGAATAATGATTTATTTATTAAGGAGAACAAATAAAATAAAACTACGTAATAATTCACTTTTATATTTTTATTATAAAGTGTATATTTCTGTAATATATATTCTGTATAATTGGGTAATAATATGGTAGTACTTTCCATTTGAAGTGGCTTGCTTAAAACAGGTGGTAATGGTGGTGGCTCTGGTGGGCTAACCACTTGAATATAAGGGGCTGCAGCATTGTTGTCCGAACCCAATTCCTGCAAGTTTCGTGATAAGTCCTGCACTATCTGTCTATTTGCCCGCATACAGCACACATGACAAACATAGTTGCTTCTTGAGGTCTGAAAATAAACCCCAGTTAGAATAAACACATGTTTTCAAGTTTTATGTTATTGTACAGTGAGAAGTATTATGTTACAACAGGCCTACTTTAAAGAAGTCTATGCAAACATGGAAAATACATAAAGATATATATTATAATCACACATACCTACTATGAGTACTTTTTTATAGATTAATATAGATAAATACAAGTACATATATAACATGTAAAACAATGAATAAAAAACAAAATGCTTACCACATTAATAGTATTTTGTGATATTAGGCCAGCTAGCAATGGAGAGTCCATACTGACATTATAGTGTCCTATTTTTCGAACCGATTTTCCACAACCAAGACAAGCCATGTTATGCCCCAGTAGTGTCTCATGTTCACCAGCCTCAGTATTCAATAATAAGAAGCGTGGTTGACAAATGAATGTCCCCGGAGGCAACTTAAAAAAAGATGCACTATTTAAAATCGCATACCATTATAAAACATAAAAAAACAGACTAAGTATTATACTATTCCAACTTCATACCTGGATTTGAGCTATGGTTAACCAACGTGAAAGTTTTGTTTGATGGTGTGCAGAAAGCGAGGATATAAGACGCCTCTGCAGCCTTTGTACGCCTATTCCGCAGTTGATGCACCTCATCGTAATCCACAAAACAAATCCAAAACGCAAAACAGTTACTCCAGTATTATTAGCAAGGTTAACAAAAACACGCTGTCAAAAGTGCCAAACACGTTCCGTTTTGTTTAAGTTTTTTTTTGTGTATTGGATAAAAATAAAACATAATATTATTATAATATGAGTATATTTTAAAATGCAACTAAAATCAATGAATACAGTTTCGTATGAATAAAATGTTCCTAGTGTAATGCATTTGTCGATCATATCACACGTTTTCTACGAGTGTAGTTTAAGACACGTGGTTTCAAAAAAAAAAATAAAAATTGTCAAGTCTGGAGAGGCTAAAAACTACGTAATAATTCATATTTCTATTTGTATTTTACAGTGTATTAATTTTGTTCGTGTACGTGGAATGTACTTTTTTGGCCATGTCCTTTAATAGTAGATGTTATATCAATTTGATTATTTAATTAGGTTTTTATTTTTATTTTTTTCTTAATTATTAAATCAGCCGGTCGCTTAGCTGTTCCACACAACTTAATTGTTTTCTTAAATTAAAGTTGATTTTTTTTCACAGAATATGTTGTTCTACTACGAGTCGGAGAACAACACGCGACCAACCGGCGTGCTGATGCTGGAGGGGTCCTACTGCGAGCGACTAAGCAAGGCGCCCATGGAAAGGAATGCTTCTGTGAGTTAAATTTTAATGTTTTTTTTTTAATCCTGTGTTTTGGGTGCGTTTACACACATAAACAAACTCGGAACAACAATTTGTGGATCATACAAAGAGTTGTTCCATAGGTACCGGAATCCAACAAGCGACAATTTGGGCGGCATCGGCAGCCAGTTGTCCAATCACTGTGCCACCCGTGCAAGCAAAATGTACTTTTTTCTTGAAGCCAATGATTCGGAGTTTCATTTTGTGTACAGTGAGCCAATAGACCACTACATACGGGGCACCATAAGGCCGATTTTCAGCCGGGGTTGCGGGGCAAGCGCAATGAGGCACTCCGGCCTCGGCCTAGATCAGGGCCAGGAGCAGGGGGTTCTTAGTCAGTACGAGTTTGCCACTTCTTCTCGCCTCAGCTAGAGAGAGAGAAGAGATTTTGTGAAAAAAAATTGACCTTTGGTCATCATAATTTTTCAAGAAGAGATCTGTAGGTATCCAGCACCCACCTGTAACATTTCTGTGTCCTCAGCATTTTTTTGTGACGTCGTAAAGTATGCTTTAATAACAAGTTTTAGTTCGATAATTTGGTTTGCGAAAGGGCATAAAACTAAACTAGCGACTCGCCCCGGATTCAAAGAATGTTGTTATACATACAAACATTCAGTTTCATTCTCTCTATCTATTAAAATAAATAAACCTCATCAAAACCCGTTGTGTAGTTTTAAAGATTAAAAAAGTGTACATAAGTGTGGGAGAGCCGAACTTCGGCACGAATGGCTGGGCTCGACCCTAGTGATACCAAGGCATGAAACGACTAGGTACAGCGTTGTGTTTCGCTGTGAGTGTGAGGAATCTTTAAATATTTGAAACCCATAAATCCCTAAAAGGCCAGCAACGCACTGGTAACTCCTTTGGTGTTAAGAATGTCCATGGGAGGCGCCGATTGCTTACCATCAGGTAATCCGTCTACACACAAAAAAAACCTAGGGAATAGTCCCTAGGTTTAGAAGAATCCTAGGACAGAGAAAGGGACTTTGTTTTATACTATGTAGTAATTGTACACATATAACCTATATCATACAAAGATGTACATATTATTATGTACATTGTTACGTAATACGTGACGTATCACAACCCTGTATAATAACAATTTAGTTCAGTAATTAGTTGACATTGTTTCTCATAGTTTGCGTAGAGATGTTTCGTGCGAGATTTGATCGATAATCCCTTTATTGCAGAGATTCATTCGTTCATTGTTAATTGTTATAACTTTGCTCCACACTAGGATTTTCTCCTGTGTCGTGGGTGCGTTTACAAACATACAATTTCACATACACATCACACCCAGACCCGGAACAATAACAATTTGTGGATCACACAAAGAGTTGTTTCGTGCGGGAATCGAACCCGCGAGGCCGCGATATGTTGCGCGGCAACCAGTTGTCCAGCTACCACCCCAACCTTCCAGCCAAAACATTGATTTTTCTCTTTAAATACGATTAGGATTTTTAGCTTAAGTAATTGTCTAAATTTCTATACAAGTATACATATACAATCTTGACTTAAAAATTCACATCACATCATTAGTCTAGCAACGTAAACAATAGCATTCCTTATATAGAAATGTGTGATTTTCTTCTTCAGTTATATTTCACTTAATAACTGAAGAAGAAGTGCCGAAGCCCATGCCTGTGGTTGTTTCACGCCGGTTTTATGTGACGCCATTGTATCACTCCGGTTGAGAGGAAGATAATGAAAACAAATTAGTTGAATTTTTTTTTAATCTTATAGAAGGTATTTTATAATAACCAGCTCATTTTTTCCAGTTCTGCTTCGTGATATCATATCGTCGTGAGAGTCAGCGGCAGTATGAGCTGCGCGCTGCTTCCGAAGTCGACTGCGTGCACTGGGTCGACGCCATACGGGAAGCCAGGTATGTTATAATTCGAAAATTTATTTATTTATTTGTCTTCATAAATTTTTAGAAGGTGCACTCATGTTGTTTTTGAAGAATTTGACTGTTTTGTTGTGTCTCCGGAGCTACTGGTTCGGGTTCATGGTTACAGGCTAAAAAAGTTATTAAGCAGAGCAGAGCGCGAATTGCTTATCGTAAAAAGGTCCTATGTGTGCGAGAGCCATGCTTTTTTATGGCATAGGTCGGCAAACGAGCAAACGGATTACCTGATGGTAAGCAATTAGCCCCGCCTATGGACACCTGCAATACTAAGGAACTTACGTGTGCGTTGCCATGCTTCGGCATGAATGGACCGGCTCGACCAGAGTGATTGGTACTGCTGCATCACAGAAAAGCAGCGTCAAACAAGACTTACGTTTTGTGTTTCGTCGTGTGAGTGAGGTTACCGGAGGCACAATCCTTCCCCTAATCCTCAATCCTTAAATTCCTTTATCCTTAACCACCCTTAAATCCCTAATAACCCACCAGAGGCTAACAATACACTTGTATAACTCCTTTGGTATTGCGAGTGTCCATGGGCGGCGCTGATTGCTTACCATGAGGTAATTCGTTTGCTCTTTTTACGACCTATACCATAAAAAAGCATGGCTCTACACACGTAGATATTTTTTAAATAAATTTAACACGTATTTACTTAAAACTCATAAGTATATACCTACTTAGGTATGTACCTACTTCTATTTATACCTAAGTATAGAATAAAGATGTGTATATACATATACAAATATAAGTATGTGTTGTATGTTTGTACGAAGGGAGACACGCGATCCTATCGTTTGTGGCATCTGTGACAATCACACTGTCATACGTGACCTTGAAAGGCAAAGAATTGATTTTTTACTACCTTTTTATATGTCATACGCCATGATGAAATAATAGCTATGTTTTTTTATGTAATCGGTCGGCAAACGAGCAGACGGATTACCTGATGGTAAGCAATCAGCGCCTCCCATGGACACCCGCAACGGAGGAGTTACGAGTGCGCTGCCGACATTTTAGAGATTAGGGATTTGGAGATTTAGGGACTGGGGAAGGGGAAGGATTGGGCCTTCAGTAAGTCACTTACATGGCGAAACCCAACTTTCAGTTTTCTCTGAGGCCGTGGTATCGCTTTGGTCGAGCCGACCCATTCGTGCTGAAACATGGCTCTCCCACACTTCACACGATAGGTATGTTGTCTACAATGCAGGATATAATATATCTATGTGCTTTTTTGTTTGTTGTTCTCATAAGAATCTTTAAGAAACGAGCTTAGGTACTCCTTCTTGAAAGGGTAATGCGCCGATGAATCTACTGATGTCGCAAGTGTCCAAGGGCGGTGTCACTTGCCATTATATAATCCGTCCGCTACTTTGCGTCCTGCCTACATACAAAAAAAATAACAGCCCACCTATAAGGTTAAAGGCATTCAATTTTGACTGCGTTGCGCGGTGGCCGAGTAACTGGGAAACGTGAAGTAAACAACTGCCGATCCACAAAGTGTTGTTCCGGTGTAGGTATATGAGTGTTTGGTAAACTCAGACAAATTTGTATTATATAATTGGAGATACCTATCTGTAATAATTAAATGTACGAGTGTACTCCTTCATGCTTTGTCTCCTCTGGTGCTTAGGGTGTCCATGGACGGGGCTTATCAGTAAATATCAGGTAATCAAACTGCTCATTTGCTACCCATTAAAAGAAAAATATGCTATTATGGTTATGATCATGATGACCCTGCCAATCTCCTCAAAAGTAATTCGGAAACCTTTCTTTAGAACGACAAAAATACGATGTGTAACAACAGTGTGTGACTCGCAATGCCTAGACGAAAACAATTCAAGATATTTTCACCTCTCATCAAATAAAACACTTATGTACATTTCGCAAAACCTATTACCTATATATCATATATATGTACTTATGTAGGTACAGTACAAAGTAAATGAAAAACGTCGAAAACGCGACTCCGTACGGGAAAATTCATCCAATTTATTACAAGAATACAGAATACACGAGGCATCCATTGAGTAACGTCCCATTATAAGTAAAATCCAATTGAAAGTTAAAAACATGGTTCAAATATTACTCCAGTATCCACGTTGCTATAGAAACCATGAGATCGAGGTCGCAGTGACCGTGACCCACTCCCGGGATACGCGGCGGGTTAAAATTTATTTTTAAATTACCTGTTACATTTTTATTAGGGCACCTTTTACCCCGTAAGTGCATTGTAGGGTTATTAAAGCTATGAAGCTGCGTATCGGGTTTATTGTTGAAATTAAAAAAGCATTTTAAAGTCAAAGTCAAAATCATTTATTCCAACTAAACCATAAATAGGTACTTTTGAAACGTCAAAATAGAGAAGTAGTCTGTCAGTCTGTTCGTCAGTGAAGGTAGGTGCTCATTCCAAAATGTAGATTCGAATGGAGAAGAACGAGCAAGAAACTCCACTCGTTACTCTTTTTTTAAAAAAAAAAGTTTTACAATTTCAATAATATAACATTTATAGTATACATTATTGTACCCCTATGTGAGAACAATGCAGAGACAAGTTGTTAAAAAAAAAGAACAAATAAGGAGACCTATCATAAAATTTTACTCCTTTGTCGTCTCGAACATGGCGCTCACATATGCGTACTCACAATTTTTAAGAGTGCGTCTATATAAACTTTATAAACGTTTTAATTGCCTTACACTGGTAATTTCAACAATAAACCACTTACAGAAATCTAGGCTTTTGTTTTTAACCGTGTTATGGACAAGTAAAAGTAATATTGGATTTTCTGGATGTCAAATGGCGTTATTGTAGTGTGAGGTTGTCTAGTCAGTTTTTTTTAATGTGGTAAGACGACTTTCGAGTTTACGGATTACCTGATGGTAAGCAATCAGCGCCGCCCATGGATACCCGCAACAGAGGAGATACGAGTGCGTTGCCGCCCTTTTAGGGATTAGGATTTTAGAGATTTAGGGATTGAGTAAGGATTGGTGGAGAGGAAGAATTGGGCCTCCTCTTTACAGAAATCTAGGCTTTTGTTTTTCACCGTGTTATGGACTAATAAAAGTAATAAGTACCTATACCTAGGTTTTTTTTTTGATGAAAATTGGCTTTATTATAGCCTGAGGTTCTTTTGTCAGTATTTATCTCCTTCTCGTAATTTTTAACAAGGTGATAAAGAATTTTTCGTGTAAGTTATCTTGTATGTTATTAGGGATTTAAGGATCGGGGATTTGAGGATTGAGTGGAGGGAGGGGGAGTGGAGATTTGGACCTCCGGTAACTTCACTCACACGGCGAAAAACAACGCTATGGTGGTTTCACGCCGGTTTCGTGTGAGGCCGTGATATCAGTCAAGCCGACCCATTTATGCTGAAGCATGGCTTTCCCTCGCTTTCAGCGCTATTATAAATATGGTAGCATGAAAGTTGCATTATATAATTGAGGCTTTATTTTACGCCGGCAGCTCTGAAAGCTAACACTGGCTTCAGGTTTACAGTGTAGCGAGGAATTAAACCTTTGTGAGCGCTACCTATGGCAACTCTACACCGCGTTTACGTACCATAGGGTTGTCAATCACTATTGTAAATAATGTTATATCTTTCGAAAAAAAAATAGTATTGTATCATTTACATTAATATATTAGAGAATTTGCTCAGCCAAAATAATTTAATATGAAAGTCATAAAATACATTGGTACTAAAAAATAATCACAAATAAATAAATCACGAATAAAATTTACCAATGGGTCGGCTCGACCGGAGTGATACCACGGCCTCACAGAATACCGGTGTGAAACAACCACAGCGTTGTGTACCGCCGTGTGAGTGGGGTTACCGGAGGCCCAATCCCTCCCCTTCCCCTATCTCTTCCCGATCCTTATATCCGCAACCCCTAACCCCAAAAGGCCGGCAACGCACTCGTAACTCCTTTGGTGTTGCGGGTGTTCATGGGCGGTTCATTAGTTACCTGTACCTATTAAAACTATAAAGGAGGTGTTACATACCTCCTTTTTACGGTTCCGTAGTCAACAAACTATGTACGAAACTTGATTGAGAATACGTATCTCTATCTCTTAAAAATAAGTTTAAGTGAATTCCATTGTACAAATATTATAAACCCGAAAGTTAATTGTGAGACTAGATGGATGATGGGCTTTTGTAACTCTTCCACGCAAAAACTACCGAAAAAATAAAAATAAAATTAGATGAAAAGATTAATTAGGATTGGGATTAATTGGACTTTCAAAGGCGAAGCTGCAGACAGAAGCTAGTACCTAACTTAATAAGTTATTACAGCAGTGTGATTATGTAAGACTTCATTCTAAACTTCGAATCTGAATCCGCTGTGAGTAGTAGTTCACTAGCGCTATACTTGCGAGTTGAACTAAATTGACCGCAACATTTTGATAGATAAAATATGAGATGAAGTTAAAAGTGACATTCTATAATGTAATTTCCCCGTCACTTCGACGCTGGAACAAGATTCAAAATCAAACAAATTTTATAGAATCGACGTGCAGTTATTTTCATTGAAAATAGCGACTAAGTGGCTCAAACTCAATTGGTTGGGTGACGTCACGTGCACGCTGCTCATGAATAAGAGTCCCGAAGTGACTTGAAACTAGTCGAGCGTTTCTCAGTTATTTCACGCGAGTAAGTCCTTATATTCAATAATTCAATAAATAAATAAGTTTCAAGATAGTTACTATTCAAAAACAGTTTTCTTATTGCAAGCCACGTTTATTTTTTCTATTTTACAATGTTGGACAACCCTAAACAACTTGACGTTCAGTTTAATAACGGCCCGTGTCTTGTGTGAACTGTGCCTGTGTTCATACTGTACACAGTTTCACTATCAACTTTTAGTCTAGATTCTAGAATACCTAGTGCTTATAATACTAATACAGATATATAATAGATATAGAAGTCAAACCGTCAAGTTCCTACTACTTAATAAATCTTGAATTGGGTACAATGGGACGAACTTTAAAATACAGGGTTTCGAAAAACAAATGGACATTACTCATTAAATTGTGGGAGAGCTGTGCTTCGACACGAATGGGTCGGCTCATCTGAAGGTATACCACGGCCAGAAAACCGGCCTGTAACAATCACAGCGTTGTGTTGGTTTACCGGAGGCCAAATAACACCCCTTCCCCATCCCTTCCTATTCCTTAACTAACTGAAACCCTTATCCCTAAAAGGCCAGCAACGCACTGGTAACTCCTTTCGTGTTGCGGGTGTCCATGGGCGGCGCTGAATGCTTACCGTTAGGTAATCCGTTTGCTCGATTGCCGATCTATTCCATAAAAAAAAGTTTCGCCGTGTGAGTGAAGTTACCAGAGGTCAAACCACCCCAATCAAAAATCTCCGAAACCCTAATCCCTAAAAGGCCAGCGACGCAATCATAACTCTTTTGGTGTTGCGGATGTCCATAGACGGGGCTGATTCAGATGAACCTTAAGCTCGTTTGCCAATAACGATAGCATTCCTTAATTAATATGCCCATTAATGGCAAAAAAGCAACGTATTTACATGCCAATAATTAAATGCATTGTTATTTTATAAACCTGTTTGTACAGTTAGCAAAAGCGAGCGGCCGCGCAAAATGGCAGTTCCGATGCGCGGCTATTGTTTGTATTTCCTTTGTACGCCAATAACAAAGTAAAGCGGAATGTTCTGCAGCTGAATGTAAACAAAACTTGTTTTGCTGTCTCTATCACAATGCAAATATATTTAAGTGGTGATCTTACTGGTGTAGAATACTGATGAGGTACAGTTTCGCATTTAAGTGTGGAAGGGCTATGCTTTCGAACGAATGGGCCACCTCGATCGAAGTGATACCACTGCCTAACAGTAAACAGGCGTGAAACCACGCTTATGTTCTGTTTTACTGTGAGTGTGAGGTTATCTTTTATTGAGGAGGGAAATTCATCAAGTGTCTTCTCTCGCCTAGGGTATGGATGGAGTGTCAGACTATTTTTAACTAAAAGGCCACCCGTTCTTTCTCCTGCTCCAAGCTAAGGCTGAAGCTACCTTACTGCGCTTGCCCCGTAAGAGTGAGATTACTTGAGTACCGATCCTTTCGCCTCTCAGATTCCCAATAAAACTTTTCATCTCCTTTCACTGTTGAAATGTCCAAAACCACCATTAAGCGCTCGTTTTACAGCCTTCTTACAAGAAATCAATAAACTTATGTGTTAAAATAGTTTATACAAATGACATATTATTATAATCAAAAACAATTTCTTAAATCTATCCAAACCAGTTTGAATTTTGCGACAATAAACTTAGAGGTCATATTTTCAGTCCCCCAGCTCTCTATAGAAGCCCAATCGATAAACGGGTGTTATTATTTAATCACGAGGTTCTCGTTTTGCATATAACAATATTAGCCTCCGTACGGCCATTGGAACACGCCGGAATATTGAATACTCGGCAAATTCGTAACCAGTCAGTTCTACTACCGTTCTCCGAATCGAAATGTAAATTAGTTATCGACGAATAATCTGGCCGAATTCTTTTTTCAAAATAATAAGTAAGTACCACCTTTGTACTCTTATTTTTTTATGTATTTTCCTCTGTGTTGTTTGTGTGTACATAAATTATTAAATAAATAAAAATAAATAAATAAGTTTTAAACAAAGTATTGACAAAAATAAATTAATTCGACGTTTCAATACAATCAAATATTAAAAAATAATTATACTCTTATTCATTGATCGATAGACTAAATTTAATGTTAATTAAATATTTTTTAAGAAATAAGTAAGCTATTTGACTTTAAAATACTATGACGTCATAACTCAGCGTTTTATACAAATTTCATAGACAATTATCGTTTTTGACATTTGGATAAAAGTGTAAATTAAATTTGAGTAGTTGGAAACTACCGTATTGTTTACACCATTACTTATGCAACTTATGTTTTTTGTAAGACTAAAACAGAAGAAGTCAAAATATCATAGAAAAGAAAACAAAATAAAATAGAAATCATAGGGAAGTACCTATAGTGTATTAGATATATCTTATAATGACCGTATTTTCCTCATGATCCAGAAACGAAATGAATTATTAAGGGCCCACGTGTAACAATCAGTGGCGAAACTTGTGATTTATTTATAAGTAGCGACCGACCTGGCTTCGATCGGGTGTAATATATTAATGAAGCTAATTGAGAGGCTCCCTTGCATACATACATATATGTCCCTACTAACAATGCGATGCGAATATATGTGGGTATGTGATTGGTACATAGATATTAAGTGTGGAAGAGCCATGCTTCGGCACGAATGGGTCGGCTCGACTGGAGTGATAACACGGTCTCACACAAAACCGGCGTGAAACAACCACAGCGTTGTGTTTCGCCGTGTGAACGAGGTTACCGGAGGCCCAATCCTTCCCCTCTCCCAATCCCTAAATCTCCAAATCCCTAATTCCTAAAAGGTCGGCAGCGCACTCGTAACTCCTCCATTGCGGGTGTCCATGGGCGATGCTGATTGCTTACCCTCAAGTAATCCGTCTGCTCGTTTGCCAACCTATTTCATTAAAAAAAACACATTTATTCTATCAGTTTGAAGAGGAGCTCGACTAGTTTCAAGCCGCGTTAGGGCTCATATTGTAAGTCAACAAGAGTATAGTGGCGAGGTATAAAGATCCATTAAATCAAGTAGCAAAGTTATTATAAGTTATAAATATGTACTTTATAAGTGGCAAACGGTAAAAGAATACCTACAGCCTATAATTTCTAATGAAATAAATTGAAATTAGCAATGCGTTTTGTGACTAATGCACAAGTTTATCTGTGTGAGTCTTCTGTATAAGTCGAAAAGTGTTCAAGTCTACCAGTACCTACCTTTTTTTGTTAACGGGGGGAACCTTCAAAAGGCGCCTAGCATTTGGGGAAAAAGACTAGGGAGTGTGGGATTTTTACCTCACTAAAACCTCCCCGTTGGCCACCATCAACACCTGTTAGGGACACCGGGACCTCTTGATAGACCAACTCTAGAGCCCCTTTGGTGCGCCTTGCGCGCCGTAACGCTTGTTACGGCACATCTCCATCGAGAGGTACGTGACCTCTTTAACCGTCATTGTGCACGGCGGCACGTGACCACTGTGCCACCGTCTTCCCTGAAGTCACTGGGGGCGCCTAGATTCCTCAGTGCGCCCGTGACCTCGGTCTACCAGTACCTACTTCTATCAGTAGACAAGCACCACAGTCAGTTGTGCTGATGATGATGATGAAGTTTTGTTTCTTTAAAGGGTGTTATTTTGAAAGAGGGACATTCTCAAGGAGGCGATTTTGGTGCTCAATTAAGTAGTTTCCTAGGTCAAAAATAAATAAATTCGATGTTTTAATACAATAAAATATTGAAAAATAACTATACTTTTATTCATCGATCGATCGATACACTAAGTTTTAATTATTAAGAAATGAAAGCTATTTGACGAAAAAATGTTAGGACGTCATACATGACTTAGTTTTCATACAAATTTCATAGAAAAGTATCGTTTTTGACGTATAGATAAAAGTATTGACTTTGACTAGTTGGAACCTACCGTATTACAACAACTTTTTCCATGGGACCAATATCGAAATCTAACAAATAAATTTATGGAAACTTTAAAACTTTCGCGTTTCATATTTACAACATATCGTTACGCGGGTATTAAAATTACGCAACAGCTTATTAAAATTTTTTATTGGTGTTATGGAAAAGTTGTTTTATTTGAGCACCAAAATCGGATAAGGACTTGATTCCGGTGCTCGAATCAAACAACTTTTTCCATATTCAAGGGAATACGGCGCAAGTTTAAAATAATACCCGTTTTTGGCACTTTATTACAATTAATTTGCCCGCGACTTTGTTCTCGTGAAATAATGTCATCTTGCAGATTTTTGGTTTAAAAACTATCCTATGTCCTTTCTCTAGTTCCAAACTATGTCTGTACCAAATTTCACACAAATAGGTTCAGTGGTTTAGGCGTGAAGAAAGACAGACAGACAGACAGAGTTATTTTCGCATTTATAATGTTAGTTTGGATTAGATACATACCTCTCGGCCTAGGAAATAAAAAAGCGTGATTCTCTGATACTGTCCAATGTCGTAGGTAGGCACAGGTTAACTCTATGACTAGTGCAGCGAGTTCAGGTCATGGTCAACAGAAATCCTTGTTTAAAGTAACCTACATGGTTTTATTTTACAGAGCGCACCTTCAGCGCGGATTAAAACTTAGCTACGTTTTAAAAATCGAATAATATTTCGCTAACGAATGACTATTTAAAACGAAAAATTTGACACAAAATTGTCTATGGTCTGTCGGTGTATGTAATCGACTAAATGTAGACTGCAAGGCTAGCGCTACGCTGGGAAACTGGCTGCTGTACAACGTGTGGCGGGTTCGATTCCCGCACGGAACAACTCTTTGTGTGATCCACAAATTGTTGTTCCGGGTCTGGGTGTGTTGTGTATGTGAAATTGTATGTTTGTAACCGCATCCACGACACAAGAGAAAATAATAGTGTGGGGCAATGTTTTTTTTAAATAAATAACAATCTTGGCATGTCTTTTTATCTAACAGTTTTCTAAAAAATGTAATGATGTTTACAATAAGGTACATATTTACCTAAATTGATGTCAGTTATTAAACTAAATTAAAATAATTTTATTTTTGTATGTATTTTATACGACCTCTTTAATATAAAAAACATACCAAGATGGTTTACCTTTACTTAACCACAAAAAGCAATAAACCATAACACTTCTACTTGTTTCTTAAACTCTAGAATAACTTAAACTTCGCTCACTTAAACTGGCCAGCGATTGACTCAACGAATAACTATTTAAACAAATGACACCAAATTAAAACTAGTCTGAGCACAGGGTGATGTATATTAGTTACTATATGACTGTCAACTGTGTACATTTGCAAGAAATAAATAAATAAATAGAATAAAAAAATAAAAAAATAAAAAAAATAAATAGAAAGAGAAAGCGAGTTTGTTTTATACTATGTAGTGATATATAAATAGGTAGGTACTTACAAGATATAGTTGGTAGCGGTGTGTCTTGAACATGTGCGCGACGCTTGGAATCCTGAATATTACATCTGTTGGTTAACCACAGAGTACATTGTGTTAGCAGTTACAGTGCCCTGACTTGTGTACTTAGCCTTATATGTATATGAATAGTCAACTTCAGTTATAGAGGGGACGATGGATATATATATTTATGTGATAGGACGCCAAACGAGCTGACGAATTACCTGATGGTAAGCAGTCAGCGCCGCCTATGAACAACCGCAACAATGGAAGAGTTACGAGTGTGTCGCCGACCTTTCAGGGATTAGGTTTTTGAGGAAATAGAGATAGGGAAAAGGGAAGGATTGGCCTCCGGTAACCTCACTCACACAGCAAAACACAACGCTGATGAATGTAAAAGAAGCAAAAGAGATATTTCAAGCATTACACATATTACATAACATTGCATTTTAGAATTCAATTGTTTTTGCCCACCTCACTGGGGCGGACGACTAGACGGACGAGACAATATTATTATGTACCTATATATAGTTAAAACACTTAAACCTTCACACATTTTTCAACCCTAAAACTTTACAGTGTAATCGGATGCAAAACTGTTCACACTTCATCGGCGGGGGTCCCTTTACTACGAAATGTTTCCGAAACCATTTATATGGAAACACTAACCCTTCTAGTAAAAGCCACGTAAACCTTCCTTACTGACGCGGTTTACCTGCAACCCGTGGAGGGTCAACAGCATTTTACATACTTATTTTACGCATATGGCTGTACAAACTACGAAGACAACTCTTATTAAAATCTATTGGAATTAATTAAAAGTCTGTGTGTTAACCTTGTTTTAAAATATTCATAGATTTTTATGGTTCTACCCGAGTGAATAAACTGTGCACTCGGTGAAGTGACGTCAAGCTGTCGGTACGTTTTTTTTCTCACAAAAATATTAAGTATTAATCTTTATCGATTTTAAGTGCTTTTTAATACTCAGCTGTTTCTATTATTTTACTATTTTGGTCGTAGCGATATTTATAATAGACTAGCTATTCTCGCGCGGTTTCGCCCGCTGCTCCATTTGATCGTAGCGTGATGTTTTGTAGCCTATAGCACTCGGGAACATTGTAACTATGACTAAAAAACATAACATCAGTGAAAGCATTTTGGCCAGTCCGACTAGCGGTTATAAAGATTACCTCCTACATACAAACATACAAACTTACTTACCTCTTTATAATATTAGTATAGATATAATTCGTATTAAAGATAAAGGGGGCGAATTCCAGTAAGGTGCACAGTGATTCGTATGGGCAGTATTTGGTCGTATGTTAGATACACTCATATTGGCATAGGGTGGTACTTAGGTAAACATGGTGAGAAAACTTGAAATTACAATTTCATATTGTAAATTACAAATCGTCAATTCGCTTTATGCAAACGTGGTTATTAATGGTCAGACTTAAAGGTTAGTTAAAAAATGATAATGATGTTATCACCGTCCCCGAAGAATAATAAATGTCAAGATCGAAGAGCCAAGCTTCGGACTGAATGGGTCGGGCCGACAGGAGTGGTACCGCGGCCTCAGAGAAAACCGGCTTAAAACAATGACATTGTTGTATTTTGCCGTGTGTGTTTGAACACCGGGTTCCCAATCCCTCCCAATTCTTATTCTCAAAAGGCCAGCAATCGTAAATCCTTTAATGTTGCGGCTGTCGATGGGTAGTGGCGATTGCTTACTATCATGTAAATCATCCAATAAACCCTTTTTTCTTGAGGGAGAGAAATTCATCGTATAACTTCACCTGCCCTGGATGACATATTATTATTGATTGATTATTGACTTAAAAACGAGAGGTAGCGGGGTAACCGTTCCTTGTCCTACTCCGAGCTGAGTCATCCTACTCGGACTTCCTGCAAGTTCGTCTGGTGACCATTTTGAGGTTTATATTGTAGTGATCCGTATTTTGATGTGCGAGTCTATGACTAGATGGCGTTACTAGGCTCACAATATGCTAATAAATAATCATCTCCGAGAGTAATTTTATTGACAAATTGAGGGTTAGAGAAAAATTATGATACCGCGGGTAAACGGAAAAATGAGGGCACGTAGACAGAACGGACGATCGCTCGGATGACGACGCAAGTTCGGCTCATGGTCATTGTTCCTTTAGAGTAACGTGATTTAGTAATTTGTCTTGATCATTATCCAAGAAATTCCACGCAGTGCGTATTGTGATTGTGAATTGTGAGCGAGTAAAAGCAGAAACGGGGTAAGTGTTTGCGCCTATTCTACGAAGTTTGAACTGGACAATTAGTTTTTTTAGCAAGGCTGACCGCGCTCATTTGTCCTCAGCTTGCGGAAACGCCCTTATTAACCGGGACCGGATCTTAAGGGTTGAGACCCGACTGAAATATATGTACGCTCCATAGCACGTATTGATTGTCTAATTCGCAACTAAAGACAAGTGAAGACATAGCTGAGTGGCTTAGTAATAAACGGCCGATATCTGGTCTCGAGTTCGAGCCTCACTCATCTCATCTTTTGGCGATGTGTTTTAGATTTTAATTTTGTTTTACTGTGTAATCGGCTTTGGCCATATTGTATTTTTTTTTCTCTTGTATTTATATTTCTTTTCATAATTGTATGTTTTATGGGATAACCAAGTACAGTTATTTAGGTACGTAATCATATTCCGTCCTTTACTTCTGTTTTTTTGTCTTACCGTTAGTTTGCCATTTTGTTAACTATATTGTGTTTGCGTTGGACGAGTTATGTACCTGCTTAAAATTATGAATTAAAAATTTTGTGAGTACCCTACACTTTCTTTGTCTTCTAACATTCAGCACGCCTAGAACCCAGGTCATTACATTGGCGCCCACGGGTTAACTGGATAGAAGATAGACAAAGCTTGTTGTATTTTTTTTGTATGTAGGTAGCTGTCCTTATAAATAATGCGTAATTTTAAATTTAATTTAATTTTGTAAAGAAATTTTATACATTTAATGCAGTTGTCTAGAACAGATATCTAAAACCTATCTTGAGTTGTCGTCTGCTATTGAGTATTAATTTAATGATGGATGTAAATGCATTGCATAAAGATGAACTTGAGTTTGAGCTGGCTTGTCGCGGGATTTCTGATTGTAGGACCGTGGCGACTATGCGTAAATTTTTACGGGAAATTTTAGTGCGAGAACAGTCGGGTGAATCAACTATTTCCTTTAAGGTCCCTAAATCTTGTATTGATAACCCGGGTAAAGAAATAATTCTTTGTGAAAATAAACTCTCAGAAGTAGTTACACTTATATCAGAGGTATCACAAAGTCCTGAGCGTTCGTTTTTTAGACGCATACACTCCCGCTTGTCACATTTATCGAACCGTGTTAAACTCATCATACCTTCGGAAACCAGTGATATTGAGAGACATTTGACATTGCTTAAGAACATCCAGGATGCCATGACGTCACTACAGGATCTTCAACAGGAAGAGAATGAGGAAGATGATGCTATTTCCGAACATGACAAAGATGTCTTACAAAAATCATTGGGTGATGAGGCCATACAGATAAAGGAGCAATTAGAAAAGTGCCGAAATACTGTAAAGAGTGCCCCAAAACGTGACACGGAGATATACCGAAATCGTGCCACGAAACCTGATGTTGACGATACGGATGAACCGCGAACAACCGCAGAGAAACCTAATTTTTGTTCACGTCATCCAGGTTTACAAAGGTCCTTTACATTTGACAATGGCTTCTACAAACGAAAATTAGTTCCTATAAAAGATTGGGGTGTCAAATTCTGTGGAAAGGGTACCGTAGGTGTGAACGCGTTTTTGGAAAGAATTGAAGAACTTAAAGAAGCACGGAATGCAGCCGACGAAGACTTGTTTCGGTACGCTATAGACTTTTTCGAGGGCGAAGCCTTAATATGGTTTAGGGCCAATAAGGGGTCGGTATCAAGTTGGTCTCAATTAGTGGAGCTTCTGTTGGATACGTTTCAGCAACCTTACTACCAGGAGGAGCTTTTGGAGGAGATTAAACGGAGGACCCAAAGCAAACAGGAAAGTGTTTTAATTTATATAGCCATTATGCAGAATATGTTTAATCGTCTGCCGAATCCTATTCCTGAAACACAAAAATTGATGATACTCAGAAGAAACTTACAACCCTACTTTCAGAAAGCCATCTGTCGAGACACATTTGATACAGTGAGTGAATTAACGTCAGTTTTGAGAATAGTTGAACGCACTAAATTAAGTTGTGATAAGTTCAAGGAACCTAGCACTGGTGAACACTCCCTAGAAAGAGATTTGGCATACAACGGAAGTACTTTGAAGACATCACAAAGTGAAGACGTGAACCAGCTGACAGCCATAGATGATAAGGGAACACCACTCACTAAATGCTGGAACTGCAGGGTTCCAGGACATCGCTTCAGGGACTGTAAAAGACCAAAGCAAAGAATCTTCTGTTACAAATGTGGACGTTTTGGGAAAACGACAAATAAATGCTCATGCAATGCTGAGGAGAAGGGAAACGTCAATTCGGGGTCGATGCCAGCCGATCGAACTCCCAGAAATTAAGTCATTCTCCTTCGGATGATTGGCAACAATGGCTAAAAACAATTTCAAATTTCTTTAAAACAGGCAACATCTGTAACATTGAGAAGCTTAGTAAGGACAACCGATATTATGCCGAAATAAGAATTTTACACCAGTCGTTTGTAGGATTACTGGATTCTGGAGCAACCGTCTCTGTGATTTCGCAGAGATTTGCAATGAGAATAATGAAATTGGGACTTTCAGGTCACAAAATTGAGAAACAAATGATTTCGACGGCTGATGGCACCTACCACACAATGGACACCGTTGTTCACTTGCCAGTTGAGCTTTCAGGCAAATATAACGTGGTAGACTTCTATGTCATGGACAACCTTAAGCATGACATTATTTTGGGCATGAATTTTTTTGAGACATTTAAATTATCGATCGGGGTGGGAAAATCGATTGCTGACATTACAGAAATTAACGTCACGCAACCCGTAATTTCGCGTGAAGACCTTTCGACATCACAGAGAGAGCGCTTGGATAAGCTGATAGAAGAGATGGCAGCAGAAATCGGTAAGGGTTTAGGTAGAACTTTGTTGATTGAGCATAGAATTGATACGGGAGACAGTTTACCTATCAAACATAGACAATATCCATTTGCTCCTCCAATCATGGCAGAACTAGAGAAGGAAATTAAGGAAATGCTGGATAATGACGTAATAGAACCTTCAATTAGCTCATGGCGTTCTCCAGTATTACTCGTAAAAAAATCCTCAGGTAAGAATCGCCTGTGTCTCGACAGCCGTCAGTTGAACAGGGTGACAGTAAAGGACTCTTATCCCTTACCTAGGGTTACAACAATATTAGACAGTCTTAAAAACGCACGATTTCTTTCTACCATTGATTTACGATCAGCATTCTGGCAGATACCTTTAGAAGAAACCAGCAAGGAAAAGACTGCATTCGGACTTGCTGGAAAAGGACTTTATCAATTTAAGGTTATGCCGTTCGGGTTAAGCAATGCCTCTCAAACACAACAGCGGTTAATGGATCGTTTGTTTACTCCAGAATTTGAAGGCAGAGTATTTGCATATTTGGATGATATTGTCATATGCGACGACAACTTCGATAGCCATTTAAATTCATTAGCATATGTGAAAAATCAGCTTAAGAAAGCAGGATTAACTATCAACCTGGAGAAATGTGTTTTCGCGAGACCGTCCTTAAAATACTTAGGCTATATTGTTGACAAGGAAGGATTACGTACGGACCCGGACAAAGTAAAAGCCATTCTTGAGTATCCCAGGCCAACTACTTACACGGAGCTAAAGCGTTTTATTGGCCTAGCTAGCTGGTATAGACGATTTGTAGAAAATTTTGCCATTGTTGCAGCTCCACTCCATGAACTAACGAAGGGAGGAAAAAAGGCTAAACGTATAACATGGAATAAAGAAGCTGAAGATTCCTTCTTAAATCTAAAGACTGCCCTTACTTCGACACCAGTTCTGAGAGTGCCAGACTTCTCAAAGCCCTTTTCGGTCCAATGCGACGCCTCCAACAGAGGGACTGGTGGAGTTTTAATACAGATAGTTGATGGTCTTGAGGTACCTGTTGCTTACACAAGCCGAAAACTATCGGAAAGGGAATGTAAGTACTCAGCATCAGAGCGAGAACTATTAAGTGTCCTGCACGCCGTAGAACAATTTCGCCCTTACATTGAAGGGAGTCACTTTAAAGTTATAACGGACCATAGTGCTCTTCAATGGCTACATCGCAATAAAGATCCTCATGGGCGCTTAGCAAGGTGGGCCATGCGCTTACAACAGTTTGATTATGAAGTGGTACACCGCAAAGGCAAGTATAATATTGTACCAGATGCCCTATCAAGAGCGATTGAAGACGAAGTTAATATAATAGACGTAAAACCAGAGGACAAAGATGAATGGTATAAATCAAAAGAAGACTTGGTCCTGGCTGGAAAAAGTGACCAGGATTGGGAAGTTAGTCAAGGGCAGCTGTGGAAATACATGAAATTAAAACAGTTTCCCCATGAAAATGATGCTTGGAAACAGGTGGTACCAGAAAACCTTCGTCAAAGGATCTTAAAGGAATGTCACGATGATCCCACATCTGGGCATCTTGGCGTGAAGAAATCGGTCAATCGCGCAAGGCAGCGCTATTTTTGGCCAACTTTGATCCAAGATATGAAAAAATACGTACGGCAATGTGAAGTGTGTGCAAAATATAAGCCCTCACAAAATAAGCTATCGGGTTTGATGGGGAAACAACGAGAAGTCACAGAACCCTTTCAAATCATATCAATGGATCTGATGGGTCCCTTTCCAAAATCTAAACATGGCAATACAATGCTGCTAGTCATAACATGCTGGTTCAGCAAATTCTGTTTTCTATATCCGCTCAAAAATGGAAAAACATCGCACATAGCTCAAATACTGGAGGAACAGATATTTTTAATGTTTGGGACCCCTAGTGTCATAGTGTGTGACAATGGCAAGCAGTTTGTTTCCAACCAATTTAAGGATCTAGCATTAGGCTATGGTGTAAAACTGTGGTACACTCCTTACTATCATCCACAAGCCAATCCCACTGAGCGGGTAAACAAAGTAATTGGTTCGGCTATAGCTTCTTATGTTGAACATAATCACAAGGAATGGGACAAATACATACCGCACATTGGACATGCGATCAGGACATCGGTCCATGAAGTTACGGGGAAAACGCCATCATACTTATTTTTTGGGCGCGAGACGGCGGTACACGGTATGAGACCCTATAGTTTTGAACCAGACGAACCAGTCACATTCGACAAAAAAAGATTCGAAAGAAGTATAGCCTTCCGTAATAAGGTTTATGATGAGGTTTGTGAAAGAATGCGGCAATCACATGATATCAACAGCGAACGCTATAACAAGAGACGTCGTGTATGCAACTATGAAGTAGGGGACGTGGTTTGGAAACGCACTAAGTTCCTCTCGAATGCGAACCAAGCCTTCATGTCTAAACTGGCTCCTAAGTTTGAAAAAGCAATCATAGCAGAAAAGATATCGAAAGACGTTTACAAGCTAAAGAGTCCCAGAGGCAAAGATTTGGGAGAATGGCATTCCTGTGACCTTAAACGTTTGGTTTGAATCCGGTTGGATTCTTTAGAGGAGAGGGGATGTTGTAGTGATCCGTATTTTGATGTGCGAGTCTATGACTAGATGGCGTTACTAGGCTCACAATATGCTAATAAATAATCATCTCCGAGAGTAATTTTATTGACAAATTGAGGGTTAGAGAAAAATTATGATACCGCGGGTAAACGGAAAAATGAGGGCACGTAGACAGAACGGACGATCGCTCGGATGACGACGCAAGTTCGGCTCATGGTCATTGTTCCTTTAGAGTAACGTGATTTAGTAATTTGTCTTGATCATTATCCAAGAAATTCCACGCAGTGCGTATTGTGATTGTGAATTGTGAGCGAGTAAAAGCAGAAACGGGGTAAGTGTTTGCGCCTATTCTACGAAGTTTGAACTGGACAATTAGTTTTTTTAGCAAGGCTGACCGCGCTCATTTGTCCTCAGCTTGCGGAAACGCCCTTATTAACCGGGACCGGATCTTAAGGGTTGAGACCCGACTGAAATATATGTACGCTCCATAGCACGTATTGATTGTCTAATTCGCAACTAAAGACAAGTGAAGACATAGCTGAGTGGCTTAGTAATAAACGGCCGATATCTGGTCTCGAGTTCGAGCCTCACTCATCTCATCTTTTGGCGATGTGTTTTAGATTTTAATTTTGTTTTACTGTGTAATCGGCTTTGGCCATATTGTATTTTTTTTTCTCTTGTATTTATATTTCTTTTCATAATTGTATGTTTTATGGGATAACCAAGTACAGTTATTTAGGTACGTAATCATATTCCGTCCTTTACTTCTGTTTTTTTGTCTTACCGTTAGTTTGCCATTTTGTTAACTATATTGTGTTTGCGTTGGACGAGTTATGTACCTGCTTAAAATTATGAATTAAAAATTTTGTGAGTACCCTACACTTTCTTTATCTTCTAACATTCAGCACGCCTAGAACCCAGGTCATTACAATATCAATGAATAGAGTTTTTTTTTTTGTGAGGGGAAAATCATCAAATGACTTCTCCCACCCAGGGCCGGACAAGAGGAAGTGTCAGACCCTTACTGACTAAAAACCCCCCTGTTCCTTCTCTTGCTCTGGGCCGAGGTCGCGGTGACTCATTGCGCTTAACCCGCAACCTCGGCTATTTTGAGGAAGCCTGGACTTATAATTTATAGTCATTAGTTCAAAATCGCCAATCCGCCTTGGACAAGCCTGGTGATTAATGCTCAAACTTTCTCCTAGTGTGAAGAGGCATTTGCTTAGCAGTGAGCACTTAAAGGCTGATGTTGAGTGACTTCTAGGAAGGTTATTGGCTCGACCGAAGTGATGCTACAACCTCACAGAAAAGAGGCATGATACTACTTTTAATCGCGCTCAAAAAAATTTAAGAGCAATGCATTTGTAACTCCTCTGACATTGTATGCAATGGGCACTTACCATCAGGAGATGTTTCTGCTGTATTATTTGCATAAAAAGCTATCGCACTTTAAAACTTTACAATATTAATGCTCGATTTTCCTATCGATTCTTTTTAACCTTGATTTGTTAAAACACTAGAACGTCTAGATAAATGATAAATAAGGTTTCATTTATCTAAATCAATAAATCAATAAATGACAAGTCACTCATTATGCTATGATAGTCTTCATAGTTCTACAAATATGGGATGCATATGTATATAAGCAATAACTTCTTCGATACCATAAATGTTTTTGTTTCTTTGTAATTAATATTCAACATTAGTTTTTTTTTCTCTGTCTATATCTGTGAAAACTTGTAATAGGCCTTATTTACGACCGAACTGTACTGTACTTGATCAGCTGTGAGTTTTCCAAAAACTTGTAAAATAAAATAAATATATTGCACCTATAATATTCTTTCGTGGGAAAGTCGTGTGTGTGAGGACAAGCCTTCCTCTCCCCAAAATCCTAGTCACAAAATCCTGGCCACGCACTCGTAACTCCTCTGGTGTTGCGGGTGTTTATCGGCGGTGGCGATTGCTTACCATCAGGTAATCCGTCCACATTTCATCGTCATTAGCGCAAGTTTGATAAAATACATAAAAAATATTATTAACGCGAAAGTTTTGTTCGTATAAATGGATGTCTAATACTCTTTTAGGTAAAAACTAGGTGAAATTTGGCATAGTGATAGTTTTAGGTTATGTTTTATTAGTAGATAGTTGGTATTTTTTTATGTTGGTATGGACGTTTAGAGTTTTAGACTTCTATTCATAATTATGTATTGATAATTGGAAAAAAATACATGGCAGTCCCTTTTTAGCATAAAATATTAAAATGTCATAGAAGTTACAATAAAAAATAAAATAAAAAGAAAATAATAAGCAATAGCAATACAACTTCGTAAAGAGGTAGAATATTAAAGTTTGTATGTGGGGGGTTATCTTTGAAACATCTTTTACTGATAGATTAGGTATACTACAGTTGCGTATTTTAGTTGAATTAGTCCTTTAAACTCTGTTTGTAAAATGGAATACATTATTTTTACACGCGGACAGACGGTTTTTTTTGTGAGGGGAAAATCATCAAATGACTTCTCCCGCCCAGGGCCGGGCGAGAGGGAGTGTCAGACTCTTACTGACTAAAAACCCCCCTGTTCCTTCTCCTACTCTGGGCCGAAGTCGCGGTGCCTCATTGCGCTTACCCCGCAACCCCGGCTGAACATCAGCCCTATAGGGCCCCGTCACGCGGACAGACGGTGGACTACGAAGACGCGGGCGAAAGCCTTTAAATAATTGTAGGCAACAGGCAAGAAACTTGCATCGTGTAAATGATGCTTTATTCCACTCGTAAACAGAATATATGTAAAATGGCGGCGTATTGCTATTTATATTTCTTTGTTATTTGTTTTCAATTTATCAGATATTTGGTTAACAGTGTATTTATTCGAATGCAATACAGGATTTGATATTCAATGCAAATTAACACAACTATTTTCTAATGGAATAAGTCTGCAAACTGGCGGATCTCCATGAACGCCAGTAGTTAGAAGTGCGTTGCCAACCTTTTAGGGGTGGAGGAGAGAGATTTGGGCGTCCAGTAATCTAATCACGGAATAGAAAATACAGAATCTAATTTACCTACATGGCGAAACACAATGTAAGCCATTTTTCACGCCGGTTTTTGAAAGACCGAGGAATTTTGTGTAGGAGCAAGATTCTCTGCTTAAAATATCAATGCTTACCTACTTAATGTTTTTTTTTGTACGGCACTGATTTTTTACCATCAGGTAATCAAAATCCTACAGCTCTTTTCTGTCAATTATTTATTAACTTTTTATGTAGCTCTAATTAAAATCAGGGAAAGAATGCTACGAATCTATTGTCTCTGCCATCAGCACGAGGCCAAAATAAAATAATTAGAATAAATATAAGTATAATGTGGTACGTATTAGTGTGGGAGAACCATGCTTCGGCACGAATGGGAGTGATACCACGGCCTCACTAAAAAACCGGCGTGAAATACTTATAGCGTTGTGTTTGCCGTGTGATTGAGGTTAACAGAGGCCCAATCCTTCCCCTACCCCCATCCCTTGCCAATCCTTAAATATCCGAATCCAAACCCCTTATCTCTAATAGGCTGGCTCTCACGGGCAATCGACTTCTCCATGGGCGGCGTCGATTGCTTGCCATCAGGTAATCCGTTCACTCTGTTCCAACATGGCCAAATAAAGAGTCCTGACGGTTTCTGTCAAATGTGTTATGGCTTTTTATTTGTCTGTAACCCACAACCAGAGAAAGAGTGCCTACAATAGGCCTTCTTTGCCATCAGCACGAGGCCAAAATAATATAATTACAATAAATATACCTCCGTATAATGTAACTTAGATTAATAATAATAAAAAAAATGATGAACAGTGACGTTGATATTCTACGCGTCGCGAGGACGCGCCCTATATAGAATACCCTTGACCCAAGGCGCAGGACCCAGTTTCCTCGCAGAGGCTCGAATGCTCCAATCCGTTTGTCTGTCAATTTGTTCCATCGAATTTCAAATTAATTAGTTATTGATTGACCGTGTTCATGTGTTTTGAGAGCTAGGTATTTTGGACTTTATTGTTACGTAGATAAGGTTGGAAATTTTGTTCTGTAGGATGATATGCTGGACCGCTTCGTTGATAGAGGGGTTATTAGGGCGCCTGCGATGCAAAACTTCTCAGGTTTAAAAAAAGAAAGAAAATATCAACACATCACTACATAACATAAAACAAAGTCACTTTCTCTGTCCTCATATGTACAGTCAGAGGTCAAAAATGCAATTACACTCTACTAATTTTAAAATGACTATACTTTGTAGTAAAAGTTCAATGGTTCACAGTCAGTTTATTCAATAATATAGATTCTATGCTATAAATTAAAGCAATCTTCAACCATTTACTCTATTCTACAAAGATGTTTTGGTCATTTTAAAATTGGTAGAATGTAATTGCATTTTTGACCCCTGACTGTAACGCATGAATTTTTAAAACTAAGCAACGGATTTTGATGCAGTTTTTTTAAGTAGCTAGAGTGATTGAAGATTAAGGTTTAGATGTATATGTTAATAACATCCATTACATAGAAAATACATTTAGAATGAAAAGGGAATGTTTCATTATTTAAGTTGTTGTTAATTGTTTAAGTGTGGGAGAGCCATGCTTCGGCACGAATGGGTCGGCTCGACCGGAGTGATACCACGGCCTCACAGAAAACCGGCGTGAAAGAACCACAGCGTTGTGTTTCGCCATGTGAGTGAGGTTACCGGAGGCCCAATCCTTCACAGGGATTGGGAGAGGCCAATCCCTGTTCAATCCCTAATCCCTAAAAGGTCGGCAACGCACTCGTAACTCCTCCGTTGCGGGTGTCCATGGGCGGCGCTGATTGCTTACCACCAAGTAATCCAAATGCTCGTTTGCCGACCTATTACATAAAAAAAAAATGTAGAAACAATTGAATATCTATCTGCCTTGAGGGATTGGAAGGAATGATATTCGAATTGTCTTCTTTCTCTTCTGCCTATCCCAAACTCAATACCATTACAAACTCGAAACAAACCATATTTACCCGTGTGGCCTTTTCATAAAATTTTAATTTTATCATCGACTCGAGAACTTGGCGAAATAATGCCGTAACTTTATGTAATAATAAAAACACTGAATTATTCATCGGTATGTTGAAAGTTTTAGGATCTTTGGAGTCCACGTCGAGTAGCTAGTTGTACCTTTTCGTACATAATAAATCATTTATAAGGTACTAGCTGCTTGCTTCACCCGCTGTTCGGCTCCATTTGATCGGAGCGTAATGTTTATAGCTATTAGCCTATAGCTCTAAAAAACATTGTAGCTATCTATCGGTGAAAGAATTTTGGTA